TCCCTCTCTCTGTCTCTCCTCTTCCTTCATAAATGTTTGCAATGAACGCAGAAAAGTCTAAAATATTTCCGAAAAAAGAAAATCTACTTGCAGCAACTTTTCCCAAAAAAAAGAAAAAAGAAATAACTTCCACACAACTTTAAATGGTGCACAAATAAAATATAAATTTATGTATAAGAGATAAAAAGTAGTAGACACACTATTTTATGATTTTTTTTTCGAGTGCAACGAAACTAAAACACGTGCACTTTATGCAAAAACTATAAACATTGCAGAAGCGGCAAAAAGTTTTTGGTAAACGCATTTCAAACACTCGCTGAGATAGTTATTACAATTGTACACAAAGCATAAGGAGCAACTGCAACAACAACAAAAACAACAACAATGACTGAAACTTGTAGCTTTCGCCTCAAATGAAATGCAAAACGAGCAGCCACGCCTCAGCCCTTCACCGCAGTCTGCCACAGCAATGCAATATTTGCCAAAGAATTTGCCTTTCCTTTCTAGTACTTTCTTTTTCGATTTTTGTTTTGCTTGCTCAAGTTGGAAGTTATTTTTAAAGTGCAGTTAGCTTTGATCGGCTGGCTGAGCGAGCGCCACGGATGTTCGAAATGCTAAAAACGAGAGCCAAATAGAGAGCGAAGAAAGGTGGAAAGGGAAAAGGGAAAAGGGATGGGGGAAGGGAGAAGCGGAAGTCGAAAATGGCGCTGGCTGTGTCAAAATGGCTGCTGAGGCAAACTTCCGCTGGACAATTGATGAAAGCTTCAAAAACATTGCTCTCGCTCCTTCTACATAGCTCTGGTTCCCATCCCTGGTCTTCCTGTTGTTAGTGTGCATGCAAAACAGACTGCGCACACCCACAACCCACCCATCCCCCTCCACCCACAACTTTGGCAAGTTTAGCATAACTACAGCCACTCGCTACCATTTGCCGTGTGGAAAACTTTTGTGCAACTGACAAGCAAGTCGCGTCGAAGTTGCAGGACAGTTTGAAGCAGCTGGAAAGACGTCTTCCGTTCCATACTTCTATTTTCCCTTTCTTCAATTTTTTTTCTTTGATGTTGCCAAAGAAAAAGGTCTCTAGCCTGATGTTTTTCGTTGCATTTCGCGCCCGCCAACGGCAATGGCAACGGCAGCAAGAGTAAGAGCAAATTGCAGTGCCCGAAAAGTTTTGTTTACAAAGTTTTCAAATTTTTGTGGCACTGAGTTGAACTTCCGTTACGCTGCGTTACACACGCTGGCACGTTAACCGGCAACTCACTTCCTGCTACAGTTGCTGCCTCCTGCTGATAATGTTGCCTGCTACTAATGCAACTGCAACAACAATCCCCCATGATGTGTTATGCAATTGTGGTGGTGATGATGGCGGCGGTGATGGCGCACAATTGACGGCCATCGCCACTTAAGTGCTCCTTTTGTATGTGTCCTGCTGCCTAAGCGGCTGCTCGTCAATTTTCACATCAATTCACAGTCTGTAATTGAGTTAACAATCTCAGTTGTTTGTTTTCCTTCTGACATTCTTTAGGCATTCTCAAAGCATTTGCGAATTCTGCCCAGATTAGTCTTTTTAAATATTTCTCTCTTATTCTTTCTATACTTTTACTCAACACTTTCCTTGTAGCATTTATTTCATATTTTTTCATAATTTACTTTCTTAGGTATATTAATCATCAAGACCCTTACTTTGTCTTTGGTTTATCAAGCAAATTACTTAATTTTGTCTTTCATTTAAAGTTCCTCTCTCAAATATATTTTTTTATTAATTCCTCAAGCTTTTTATTTGTGTTTTCCTGAAATAGTGGCAACGAAATTGCATCAAAGCTAATTCACATCATAGTCTAAAAATCATTTTGATAAAGCATATATTCTGAAAAAAATATATTTTTGAATGAATGCTTTCCTGCATTCCCATTAGGCCACATTTGAAAAAAAAACGTCGTCCTATGATACATTTTATTTGAAAAGTTGTTGTCGGTTAATTAATAATATCAATGTAATTTCGTTATATTTGGAGCCTTTTCGAAATTTTGATTAATTGTTCAAAATAGTTCAAAAATAAAAAATAATCAAAAAAAAAACTCGATTTACTTGATATTTCATCCTTAAAGTTTACAAAATTTCCGACTATTTTTGAAAGCAATTGGCTTATAATTGAAAAGGGAATAAAGGAAAGTCATTCTATAAGACAAACCTTGAATTGCACTTTTAACAAACGCGAAGCCAGCACATCGAATCAATATTTAAAATTCGCAATTTGTATCTAGGAATACAGAGAACGCATTTATTCTTAGATTAAATACAAATCAAGGCAATGCATTTTAAAAGTATATTTGTATATTAATTAACAGTTATTAACAAAAGTATTAGGTGACTCCTACAAGTATTTTATGGACGTCGCTTAAAAACCTAATACCACAACTCAAACTTTTTTCGGATTAAGAACTTGAATAACTCCTTAGATATGAACTAAATGCACAAGAGCTTGAGCAATGCAAAGCTAGAGGTTTTAATTTAAAAATTAACAAAAATAAAATCCAAATTTTTTAAAATTCATTTCACCAATGCATCTCCCAGAATTGGTTGTAGCTTTGATACAAATGAAACATTTTTTTTAGTAAATCGCGATACTTTCACGCAGGAAAACCCTCGCTCTATCTCTACTAATATTTTTTTAATCATTTTTTGCGTTCAACAAAGATGGACGACTTACTCTTTCGACGCATGTTCTTGATTCATTTTCTCCAGCTTTTTTCGCCATTTTTTGCATTCGTTACGCAGTGTCTGTATCGGTTTCTCATTCATTTGGTTCGTAAATCATATTCTTCTTCTTCTCCATAGTCATATAAAATGATTCATCTGCATGTGGTCCTTGTGCGGCAAAATAAGAGAGACTATCCCCCCATCTACCAATCATCCATCATTAGCAGTGTCTGGCAGCCACAAATGTATACCTCAATTATGTGGCAACTCTATTAAATTTCCATCAATATGCGCATGTAAATGATGCAGAAAATGTTCGAGCAGCAATTGCAACTACAACTACAACTACAGCAGCAACATCTTCGACTTTGTTGCCTCTTCGCTTCTCCTCTCTTCTCTTCTGTGCTCTGTTCTGCTCGCTCGTTCTGTGCTTGCCTCTTGCTACATTTACTTTTACAGCCACTACACGCCTGGTACTCGGCACTTACTTACTCGCCTATTTGCCTCCCGCACTTGTGGGGCTACACACAAACACACACACACACACACACACACACATGCACATGCACACTTCCGTCGACGACATGTTGTCATTGCGCGTAAAATTATGTCAACGCTTGTCAACTTTTATGTGCACGCTAGAGAACTAAGAGATGGCAAAGTAGGGAAGGAGAAGCAGCAATACTTGCAGTAAAAGAAAGTTGCTCGAGAATAAGTTTCTCAAGTGCGGCCCCTAGTGTGCCTTTTGAGTGCGTTGAATGAAATGAAAGAAAGTTTCGTTTACCATGCATGTTTGCCTACATTTGACTGTGTGTGTGTGAGTGTGTGTGAGTGTCTCACCGCCATTTTTTATTGACTATGCATTAAGTGCAGTTGAATACTGTCGAGTGCTTGCCATGTCTGCAGGCAGCCATTTTGTTTGCCTGCCTTTGGTGACAGCACTCCTTTAATTTCAAGTCGAGACCAATGTTCAGCACCATTTAAATACCTCATGCCTACAATTACCCACAATTTGTAGCTTTAACTTTTTTTCAGTACCTCTTCATGCCTTGTCTCCCTTTTTGCAACTTAAATGTGGCACGCCCACGCACTTGCCACACGCATTAGCGCTACTCCTTCATGCCTGCGCCCCACACTTTTTAATAAAACTTATGCTCACTTTTTTTCGCCTCAAATTGCTGGCTTGGCTAATTAGCTTTCTTGGTTAGTGCGATGCCCACTTTCTGGTGTCTTCTCATCTCTTATTTTTTTGGGTCTATTTGCAACTCATTTGCGTTTGCTTGTTGTTGCCGTTACTGTTGCTCTTGCTTGGCTCAAATTTAATAAGTTTTTCTCGCCATCTTTGCCTTGCCAGGACGTTAGCCAAATTAGCCTGTCATGTTGGCCGCATTAGCGCGCCTGCATTCATGCATGAAATTTCATTTGAAGTTGGTCGCCCGTTCGTTTCTTGTCGTGTCCTGCCTTGTCTTTGTGTCTCTATGGGGAAATGTAATTTTGCACTATTATTAAGACGAAAGCCATTTAAAAGTATATACATAGTATTTAATATTTTTAAACTCAAATGCATCTGCACACTTGTAAAAATAACTTAATAGGCTTAAGTGGAGTGCTTTAAGCAAATAATTGCACAATATTTTGTTTTGAAGTACATTTAACTTAATGCTCTGAACGTCTGTTACGAATTCAAATAGCTTTTGTTGATTTATTCAAGCATTAAAAATTACATAACCGTTTTATTATTTTCTGTGCACTCTTAGATAACAAATGCACTTTTTCAATTTTTCTTTCTTTATTAATAATCATTTATTGTACATTTTTGTGTATACCAGTTCACAAGGTCTTTCTTAAGGACAACAACACACCAAACAAGACTCCAACCAGAAACACAATGAGACATACTCAACAAAAAGTACAATAACAAATATACACCGCCTTTACTAACAACTACACTAATGTCTCTATTAACAATCAAAAATATATGATATATCATACACAACTTATATGATAAGTGTCTACTCTTTTTCCTTTTTTTTCGTCTCTTTTAACGCTCTCACATTTCATTTTCCGATAACAACCAACCACAAAATTGCGCCACACACAACAACAACAACAATAACAACAACAACCACACAAATCAAACTGAAATAACAACCACCAACCACAATTACCCAATCAATTGTAACTCTAATTTATCTGCCCCGCACTACCAACACAACAACAACAACCACCATCACCACCAACAATGTTTTCGACGACGACGACATCGACAACAAAAACAACAACAACAACAACCAATACAGAGCGTGCCAGTGCTTCGCACATTTGGCAATCATCATATCGCGTAGCGGGAACTTGCCGTGGCCAGCACCACAACCACCAATAACAACAACAACACTGCAATAGCAACAACAACCACCACATGCTCATCATCAGCAACCACCATAACGACACCGACAGGCACACCACCATTGCCACCGTTGCCCAATGCGTTCATAGCGATCAAAACGAAAGGTGATATTAGCAACAACATCGGCGTTTCTGGATGCGGTGGCAGTGGCAGCGGCGGCGGCGGCAGCAACAACAGCAGCAACAGTCTGGCCTTGCATAGCGGCAGCAATAGTTTTAAATCGAATTGTAACAGCAACAGCAACACAAACAAGAAATCACCACAGCAACCGCCGCCATTGCCCATGAAAAATGGTGCCAAACAGCAGCAACAACAACAGCCACACAATTCCGACTCACACTATCAACATCTCAGCTACAACACCACACATCTGCATAGTTTCAGTTCACTGGAGCAGGGCACACAACAGCAACAACAACCACACTACCAGCGCGGCAACAACACACTCGATCGCAAGCAATCACAGCAACACAGCAGCGATTATTGCACACAAATCAATCCACACTATTTGCAAACCTTTGACAGTCTCGACCACTATAGTGTGGCCAACTTGCAATCGCATCGCAGTCAGTCGAAGTCACAGATTTATAGCTATGGTAGCAGTGGCACTGCCAGCGACACTTCCCAGCAACATCACACACACTATCACAGCAGCAGCAACATTGCACACATTGAGCAACACTATCATCAGCAGCACAATGGCCGCTATAGTCAGCCACATCAGCAACAGCAGCAGCAGCAACAGCTGCTACAGCAACCACCACAGCCATACCACCAGCAACAGCAACATCACAGTTTGAAGCACACTAAACACAGCAAGGGCCACAAGAATAAGCACAGTTCGAAGAATAGCAAGTCACAGGATGATTTTAAGGCCATGCACAAACAGCAACAACAGCAACAAAAGTGCGCCAGCGGCAACAGCCACAAACAGCAACAGGTGTCCAAACGTCACAGCAACAGCAACACCAGTCAGCACCAACAACCACAGCAACAACCACAGCCACCACCACACCATTACTCAAGCTCCAGTGATAGTTTACCATTTGATAATAACTACTATTAGATTAGACTTTCACAACACCAACAACAACAACAACAACCAGAATACCCACACTAACCAACAACAACCACACACACACACCCAGATAAACAAGAACACACTCATCGAACTGTCACAGCTGCAAGTTTTTCACATGTACTCGTATGACTAACATCCCTTTAAAACACCATTATATTTAAAACGAAAAAAATAACTATCTATGTATGTATGAATGTATGGATATGGCCAACAATTCCAGATCTGCTCCATATGTTTCGAATTTGCACCACCAAGTGAGACCCCAAAAACGTAAACGGCAACAAACTCAATATCCCTAAATTGTCCCGTTGTTTCATTAACTTTGTGAATATATATTTATTCTATATACATTTTTTATTATATGACATGTGAGGAGATGGTGATTTTATAGAGTTTATGCGGATTATTGGATTTCCAAAAAATGCTTAAAGCTTGCTGTCTTTATAGAATCCTCCTACCCTCCAACCAATCTGAAATATCGTAGCACTTCGTCTTTACAGCCAGTTGTTAAAAAGTTCACTTATGTTCGACTTTGAGAATTAAAGAAATGTCCCAAATATTTTTTTATTATATCTTTACCGACCTTTGCTTGTTGGTTAGGAACCAAAGAACTTTCCGTTTCTACAGAAATTATAGTTTTTTTTATTAGCAAACACTTTAATTATTTTTACAAAAAATTTCAGTTATTTCAACCGAAAATTCAAAACGTTTGTGTTTATTTTGCTTTAATGGAAAACTTTCTTGTTCTGTCATAAGTACTATCAACACATAAAGCAACGATCTGCTATATTTTAAAAAATAGTAAAAAAAAAGCTTTGTAGTTTTTGGATATAAAAAGGTGTTTTTTTTTACTTTATTTAAAATTCTCAAAGAAAACCGACAAAAAAGATTCGTAATAATTCCTACAAGTGCTAAGCTAAATGACCCATAGAAAAGCGACAAAAGCTAAGCTTTTAGATATAACCAAAGAATTGTTTCCAAATAATTGTTATTTGATAATTTCCAGATCCAATAAATAGCTTATTTTTACATGATTCCTCAATTTAAGCCTCTTTTTCCCCGCCCAACTTTCTTAATCTGTTGGATACAAAAATCGCAACCGGCGGCTATTTGTACGTAATAGTCACTACCAAAAATACGAAATTAATTAGTGTATATTTTAATAGTATTACATTTTGTTGAGTTACTAAGGCTCAATATCTATCCTTAATCTTTGATCAGAAATCATCGCTTATAATTTTCTAGGCAATAGCTTCGCCATTATATAGAAAAGGAAATTTTTCGCTCCAAAAAAATTGGTATATTTTGAATAGGTGTCAAGGGCTTGAAACTCATTTAATTTAGTGATTATTCGACTTCGAACCTGAATGGTGATTTAGAAACAACAAAAAGGAAAGTATTTCATATTCTTATCTCTGGCACTTGGTTTCCTTATTTCTCTAAGAGCATTTACTCTATATAATTAAATAATTATTCTTAGTAAACACCCAGCTTTGAATTTGAAAGTATAATATAATATAAATATAATATAAAATAATATGAATTCTGTCTTATCGTTGGCCGAACTCTCAACCCCTACTCTGATTTAGCATTCTAAGAAACTTAACGCGCCTCAGCAATAACTGCTGGGTACAACTGGGGGATTATTGTCTGGGGAACCTTCTTGTCGTGCCATAACTTTTGACGCATTGCGCATACGCCACGTGTGGGCAAAAGTTTGATCAGTCAGTCAGCTCTCAATTTGCATATCGCAAATGCGAGGCAAACTTATTCACAACAACAACAAAAACACGCACAAAATGTTGTGCCTTCTGCAAAAATAAATGTATGAGTAATGTTCAGTTTTTGTTTTCGTTTTTTTTTGGGTAAAAAATGTTGCAAACTACAGCAACATGCTTGAAAAAAAAAACATACATACATACATGGGAAATATACAAACAGAAACAAAAATAAAAAACAACAACAACAACACACACTCACTCATATTCGTAGTAAAGACAAACATGAAGTGAAAATTCTTGCTGCAGGCAGCTGTTTGTGTTGCTGTTCAACTGAATTCCACTTAAAAGCTTAGTTTAAATGAATTAACATTTAAATAGTTTATAAACAAATAATTTAGCCCATTAATGGTATAACGGATAATCGTTTTAGTTTAAGAAATTCTAACTAAGCTTATATGTATATAGAATTAATTGGAAATGTGCTGCAAATTGTCAAAGTGTGATTTGAAAAATTATAAAAATCCCATTTGACAATTTCAGGCATGCGCCTCTCTCTGTGGGCAAATAATCTGTTTAGTTAAATTTTATTCAAATAGACTATGTATGGATTGAAATTAGAATTAAGACGCACTAAGCGACTATGCGAACCACCCTGAACTAAAAGCTCACCAAGTGAAATATTGCACCCCTCTTCTAAAGCCCCTTCAACCCTTCCGCTAAGTACTACTTTCATGAATTTCCTTTAAAGAGACCCTCTCAGCTAATTAGTTTTTATTTGTTTATTTCATTGATCAAATTCTTGAAATTGAAACTGCCAAAATACAACCACAACAACAACAACATCTGCTACATAACAACAACAACAACAACAACAATCAAACACACAACTCACACACCAAACACAAACTACAGTCGTCCACACACGCTTGCGCCAGCGCCCACGATGAGCTTGGCAATTTGCTTTGGAGGCAGGAAGCTGCCGAATTTGTCGAACAATTTCCCAGCGGTCCGACCCACCATCACCATCACCATCACTGCGTCCCGGCGCCCCCGGCGCCCCCGTTGCGCCAAAGCGCCTCCGCCAGTGCCCTCTATCTGAGCAAGCGGGCCAGCGGGGGTGAGCTGCTCTCGACCCAGCAGCGACATCAGCGTGACCTTTTCAGTGGTGACCTCGGCATACCGGAAATCAGCACGCATGTGGGTAGTGTAGTGCACACCTTCGAGACCTTGGCGCTGCAGCGACGCCTAGCCGAGCAGCAACAACAGCAACAACAACAACAGCAGCAAAGTAAGTATGAGGTTGAGGTGGAAGTGGATGTGGAAGAGCAGCCACAGCAACCACCCAGCAACAGCAACAACAGCAACAACACCAGCAGCACCAGCCACAGCAAGTACAACCAATTGAAGCGCAAATCACAAGAGATGCGTCAACGACTCATGCAGCAAATGCACCGCCAACAAAAACAGCAACAACAATTAACGCACAGCACCAACATTACCAACAACACGAAGCTAACCAATAGTTGTAGCACCCAAACGTTAGCCTCACATCTGGCCAAATTGCGCTCGAATGGTCAGCAATCGCGCCACTCCATGGACCAGCTGCCAACGCAGCGTCTCAGCAACTCCACGGAGCAGTTGCAGCAACGCTTTGGCAGCATTGCCGACGACTATCGCAAGAATCTCTTCGGCACATTGACGCCGCAACACAGGGTGCGCTCAAGTGTGAAGCAAACCAGCGAGGAGGAACTGCAGGACGAGAGCTTTATAGTGAATGCCGCCTTTGATGAGATCTTTGCGCGCTACAGCGGCGTAGATGAGGACGACACAGAGAATGGGGATGAGTACACAGCCCAAGTCCATACGGCCACCAATACCGATGATCTGTACGATGAGGATGACGATGAGAATATGCTGGTCAGCTTGAGTGAGCTCGACGACGATGTGTTTGCGAGCAGGACACAAACGGCAGCCACCACGCCCACCACAAATGCCGGCCGCACACCCAAACACAGTTGCGGTGCATTGAAGAAGCCACGTGCACCGGCACCGCCGTTGCAACAACGCTCCAACACGTTGAGCAATCTCTTCGAGCGCCTAAAAGGCAGTAATATGCACAGCTCTGTGGTAGGGACGACAACGCCAACGCAACGCTCACGCCGCTCCCTCAATAAAACCAACTCCGAACAGCAATTGCAGCCAACCACCGCCTCCACATTGGCTGCCATGCGCAAGTATCCGGCACAACTTCAATTGAATGGCGAATCAGTGGCCGATTTCAATCGAGGCTCCACCTTGAGTCAGTCCTTTGTGCGTCAACTGAAGAAGGCCTCGTTCAAAACGAAGCGTGCACCACCCGCACCACCGCCCAAGCCGCGTGGCTCCAATGTGGCGCATGTCACACCTTTACGCAATGTCCTCATCTTTCCCAAACGCTCCAAGTCTTCCAATGAGCTACTGCTCGATGACTTGAACGTCCAGGCCCGTAAGTATTACAGCAAGCCCGAAGGGGAGACCCCACAACCGGGACACCGCAAAAATCTTCACAGCGCCCTACTGTAGGTACGGGTATGTCTACGATTAGTTTCGAGGAAGCACTGCAACATTTTCTTTTCCAACACTTGCCATTTTGTGACTGATCCATCAAGCAACAGCAATTGAAGCGCTTCAGGCTTTTCCAACACTTTTGCCATTTACGTGACTGACAAGCATCACATTATTAAATAATAAATTTAGCTTTTAATACTCAAAACACACCAGCTACAACATTTTTTAATAAAGCAGACGCGTTTGAAGTGATCTAGCATAGGAGAAGAATCATCAGAACCTCTAATTTTCGATTGCTTAGGTCGGGGTCACCAATTAAAGCGACCCCAGCCAATTTTGAGTTATCTCCTATACTATACGCTAGATCACTCCGATTGCAAAAATTTTACCTGTAGCACAGCTTAACGGATAATGTTTTTTTATCTATTCATTAATCAAACTATTCGACAGAGGCAACGCTTTTATAAACTAATAAAGCAATGCAAGGTAGTCTAAAACCCGCCGTCGTTATGGAAGTCAAATGAGAGGATGTGGATGAGATGAAAATTGCTTGGAGTCACTAAACCTATCCAAAGAGTTCTGCGCTATATTCGCGTAATTGGAAACCACAATTTACCACTAATACAACATTAATTTCGTAAATTATTAATATATGCATGAACATCAAAACCAAATACCAAAAAAAAAAAAAAACCAAATAAATGTAATTGAAATCATTTACAAATATATGTATGTACAAAATTAAAATTTATGAAAATCAAATAACAACCAAAAAAGAAAAGAAATTACAAAACAAATTGAGCTCTCAAATTAAAAAGCTAAAATGCATGTGTTGTGTAATTTACTTTAATAAATAAAAAAGTATAATATGCATTAACAAACATACATACAATTGAAGTAAAGTAAAACTGAAAAAGATTATTATACACATTATAGCAACCATATAAGCCACATATGTACCCGTGTATACATACTTGTACGAGTACATATGTATATGAGTGGCTATAAATACATATATTGGCGTATGTATGTATGTAATTTGTTGTAACTTGTAGTTTAGTAACACGAAATGCAAATGTCAAACAAATCAAAAACAAAATATATATATATACATACATATATATAATATTACTAAAACCTTTATGTGCATGCAATAAAAGAAAATTCAAAGCATACAAAATTGCGTTCTGACTTAAATGGAAGTGAAGATCCACACTCATCGTCCAGCATTACGCAGCAAAAACTTGGGCAAGCGAATGAGAATAGTCGGCTCCAATGAACCATAGATCTGATGAGCAAATTCTAATTTCAGAAGGAAGACGCTGATGTCTAAGAAAGTAAAATCAATATATTAACAAATTCAAGAAAACACGAAAACTTCTTGCAATTATGCATAAAAAGCCATCTGTTTTGGGTAAATGGGTAAAAATGGCGCTTTTTATTTTTCAGCATACTTGTATTGGTAAGTAATAATTAGTTGTTTCTATCATTGAGCAGCCCAATGTTAGATAATAATAATTTGAAAGTGCTTTCAAGTTATACAGGAGCACCAACACTCGAAACACTTTAAATGAGCTTACTTGGGCCACTAACCATACAACATATAGATGCGTCATTTCATACAACGAAAACGTCCCATCGAAATTGTTAGCGACAGCTCCCATAGCTGTTCGGGTATTTGCCGAATGGGAGCTGTCGCACTTCGGCTATGAGCCGACTGGGAGCTGTCGCATTCGTGCTCTCTGTGAGCGAATTTCACTTCATTCGCAGAGAGGCAGTCTACAGAGACGGTCGGTTCACGCCGCTTATGCTCTTTGTATGTGTGCGTGCACATATATACATGTATATGTTTATATGTATTTGTGCATTTGGTCTTTTGCTGTTTGCGAGCAGCAGCTTCAATTTCGTTTTCAGATTTTACCTGCTACATGGGCATCAGAATTTCATACACTGTTGCCATATTTCTGTCGCATTGTATTTTGGGATGCGTATGCAAGTGAAGTTTGTCAGTAGTGTATGGGTTTCTCATAACGCCTATAAAAGCACACATACATACAATTACATACATATTTATGTGTGCAAATGTTGTGTTCATATGCAGACCTTGACATTGTCATGACCTGCCTCAACTTATATTTATGCACAAGCAATTTTATTGATAGACTATTTCTTATTTTTGTTTGACTTGCATATTAATTACAAAATATTTGGTAAAAATGTCAGTTGGCATTTAAATCCAATTAATTCAAAAATATTAGTTTAAAAATATATTATTTTATTTATGTTCTTGGTAAAAATGTCGGTTGGCAAATTAGCCGATATTTAATATGAAAATAAGTACATTTAAGGGTCGCAAAATGTGGTAAAATTTGTAAAACAAGTGTAATTAAATAAATAAAAATACATACATATATGTTTATATGTATGTACATCTTTTGATAATTTAATATATATTGTTTTTTTTTTTAATTCGCCGCTCAAATTTGTTACCGATCTAATGTTGTATATGAACAAACATATTACATCGGTTGAGTTTAATCTCATCATGTCCAAAATGTTGTACATGAAAGTCTTGACATCAACAACAGTATCTGGGAACTGTGCCCCCGATGAAGATACTATGTTGATTAACATTATACAAGACTGTGGGTCAAATCAATCATCATCACAGCTAACATCTTCTGAAGATGATGACTTGATTTTCATTGATGACGAATTAGAATTAGAATTGGCTATAGAAGCAACAGATTTGAATATTCAAGACGCTTTCAATGAGAATGCTTTGCGTTATTTTGCAGGGTATCTCTTGCATAAGCTCTTGAAGAAACACGACTGCAAAGTGTGTTCAAATCTGTTGAAACCGTCCGATGAAGTCCAATGCACTTCCGAGTATTTAATACTAAATAAAAACTTCGGTTACTTTAATAGTAACCTTAAACTTATGATTTTTTCACTTTAATTAAAATACACTTTGATGTTTTTAAACGGTATTTCGAGACAAAGTCTCACAGATTCCATTTGAAAAAAACAATAGTTCAAAAATGCGTATTCATTACATCAAAGTTAGATAAATACGCATGCTGGTTTTCAGAGTCTGGTCCGTGTTATAATCACAGAACTCAATTGCTTAATGAGTTCATTTTGATTTTAATTTGAAAAAATTGTAAATGGATAACAGATGGGATTGCTGGTAGTAAGAACTCCAGGGTAGCTTTAAATAAATTAAAAATAATTAAGCAGTAGAATTTTTTCTTACTTTATGTTTAAATAATAGCAAATATTAAATATTTACATGTTAGTTAATACACTAAATAAGGTAATATTAAGTGGGGAACATGGATTTGACTTAATTTCAAACACTTATAAATAGTAATTAAAATGTTATGCATTTTTGAAATTAAGTCATTTCAAGTCGACTCAAAGGTCCTATTATTTTACGACCCCATTAAAATGTTGATGGCCTCCACGTAGTGTTCTCTGGATACCGACATTTTTACCAAGAACATAAATAAAATAATATATTTTTAAACTAATATTTTTGAATTAATTTGATTTAAATGCCAACTGACATTTTTACCAAATATTTTGTAATTAATATGCAAGTCAAACAAAAATAAGAAATACTCTATCAATAAAATTGCTTGTGCATAAATATAAGTTGAGGCAGGTCATGACAATGTCAAGGTCTGCATATGAACACAACATTTGCACTCATAAATATGTATGTAATTGTATGTATGTGTGCTTTTATAGGCGTTATGAGAAACCCATACACTACTGACAAACTTCACTTGCATACGCATCCCAAAATACAATGCGACAGAAATATGGCAACAGTGTATGAAATTCTGATGCCCATGTAGCAGGTAAAATCTGAAAACGAAATTGAAGCTGCTGCTCGCAAACAGCAAAAGACCAAATGCACAAATACATATAAACATATACATGTATATATGTGCACGCACACATACAAAGAGCATAAGCGGCGTGAACCGACCGTCTCTGTAGACTGCCTCTCTGCGAATGAAATGAAATTCGCTCACAGAGAGCACGAATGCGACAGCTCCCAGTCGGCTCATAGCCGAAGTGCGACAGCTCCCATTCGGCAAATACCCGAACAGCTATGGGAGCTGTCGCTAACAATTTCGATGGGACGTTTTCGTTGTATGAAATGACGCATCTATATGTTGTATGGTTAGTGCTTGGGCGCACGAAGTAGTAGCTCTTGAGACAACCTAATAGGGGAGTTTAATAAAATAAATATGGAAGAAGCAGATGGCTTACCAAACCAAATAAACTCGCCCAATTAAATGCGACTTATGGAACACATTATACTTATTTGCTAAAGTTACGGATAATTTAAAACAATAGATGTTCGGTAGGACCATAATCATCTCCTATAATCAAGAATGAGCAGAGCATACACTTCATCTGTGCTCAGAAAATATAGGCATTATGATGTTCCTGAACTGTGGTGCATCAAAGGGTTTGCTTTTTTTAAATTTTATAATTCCGTTTTTTACTTCACTTGGGAGCTTAGGGCTTCTACAAGTATTTCCTATCTAACTTTATTTTTGGCCGTCTATCTATCTGTGTCCCATGTGATGTTCTTGTGGGATAATTCCTGAAGGGTGGTCCGTCGCCAGGTTATCTTAGGTCTGCCGACCCGTTTGCTTCTTTGGGGGTGCCAGTCTAGCGCCATCCTTACAATACTGTGTGGGTTCTTCCACAGTGCGTGGCCAATCCACATCTATTTCTTCTTCCTTATCTGGAGGTGCATTGGAGACTCACCAATCATGCTCCACAGGTCCACAGACATTTGATATTCTGTTAGGCCAGAATATCCCGCATATAATTCTGAGGCATTTGTTTACAAATGCCTGCAGCTGTTGGACCTTTCTTTGTTTGGTCAGCCACGTCTCGGTCCCATACAAGAGTGTGGATTTGGCACAGGCAGGGTTTGCTTATTTGCACACAATTTGCGGGCATTTGTTCCGACTTCAAAGAAAGGATACATACATTAAGCCATAATCCAATGGAATATATTAACTGAAGGAATGTTGGAATTGGAATTATTCCTATATACATATGTATATTTGTCTGCTACAAAAATATTTGCATACAATTTTTATTTACTTAGAAGATAATACAGTAATGAAACCACATAATTTCTAAGATGGGTATTAACTATTATACGTATTCTTAAACTAGATTGTTTCAAAGATGTATATGTTTAATTAATATAATTTGTGGTTAACTACCAGACACAATTATAAGTTTATCCGATATGTCTAAATGTCGACGATTTCAGTCATTTTTACCAAAAATATAATTTAGCTCGGTTACAGATTTATATAATCAGTATAAGAATGGATTATATGAAATGAAGTTACATATATAAATATGTTACTTTGGCGCTATAATAAATATTGCTTCAAATTATATATAATTATCATTGATCATTGAGATATTCTACAGGACTATATACTTATGATTACGATATTAAAAGAACTTGTCGAACCGAACAAAAGTAGGGCCCGTAATTCACAAAATAAATTTTCATATATGTAAACTATATACTATATATTGTATATACTAACTTAGAGCACTCTCTCTTTGTGCTGAAATATGTGCAGATTACAGCTTTATTTCTCGATCTTGTCAGCTCACCTGCAACAATACAGAGCCACAACAAAACCAGCTCAGCAGACAGAATAGAGCGTCATGCTCAAGCAATGAACGAAATCAGACCGACGCATAGCTTCTACGAATATTATATTCTATATTCTATTATTAGAATCTTGTATGAATCACAGATTCAAAGTAGTAATTATTATTAAATATTATTTTGATGTTGCTAGGCACCAGGTGGTTGGATCGTCGTCGGCGCTAACAACCTCTTCACTTATCACGAAGCATTCAAAGTGACCGGGCGGCAAATTTCCCTGCTCCGAGCCGTGCTCCAACTGTTCTGCAGTCTCCAGCTCCAATTGTCGCTCATCCTCCTCTTGTGTCCGATCAGTGTGCGTTTCTCCTTTGCATCTGTGCCGCCTCAGCTGAATGGCACGACTAAAGCTTCTGCCACAAACACTGCAGCTGTGCATACGCTGGCCAGTGTGAGTGCGCTCGTGGGTGCGGAGCACACCTTGCTGAGCAAAGCGTCGATCGCACATTGAGCAGGCGTATGGACGCTCGCCCGTGTGCGTACGCATATGGAGTTCCAGCAAGTAGACGCGCGAGAAGCTGCGCTGGCATATTGTGCAGCTGTGGGGACGTTCTCCGGTATGTAGAGAGACAATGTGACGCTTCAAATTACTGGACTCGACAAAGCACTTTCCACAATGCGGACAGCTGTATTGAGCCAGCTGTAAGTGGCGCTTTTGATGCGTTACTAGAGCGGCATTCGTCTTGAAACTCTTTGGACAAACGTCACACACAAACGGGCGTTCGCCGGTGTGCAATCGCATATGCATCACAAGGCTAGCGGGGGAAGCGAAGCATTTGTCGCAATGCACGCAACGATGACGGTCAGTTCGCGGAACTGACGACTGCTCAGTTTTATCGCAGCTATGGGCTTGAAGGTTACACTGTTGGGTGAAGCTGTGACCGCATTGGTCGCAACTATATATAATGTTGGGTGTGTGCGTCTTCTCAATGTGCCGCTGCAATGTAGCTGGCTGATGGAATAGAGCGCCACAATCGTCGCAGTTGTAGGACATCGGGTTGCTGTGCTTGCTACTACCAACTTCAATATCCTGCACTTCAGCCAAGGCAATGGTTTCTGTTCCACACTCCACCTCGTTTGAGGCTGAAATTTCTTGAGCCAATTGCTCCTCACCATCGACTTCTATGATTTCATCATTTTCTTCATCAACAACTGAATCCTCGTCTCTCTCAGTTAATGTTGACTCCTCTTTGTTGGCGAGCTCCGACAAAGTCTGTTGCGTCTCGAAGCATTTTCGGCGAAACTTGGCCGCCACAAGCAGTTCATTGGTACACTCCTGGCACAAATATTTCGGGTATGCATCCAACTCTTCCACCTGTACAGACAAATGATTAGGAAATGTAATTCGAACACGATAGAGGTACATACCTTGATGTCTCCACATAACTCCAGAAGCGTACACAGATTCATTTGCAATTCCTCCACGTTCTCATATATGTCTACCATTAGTTCATCCTCCTGTAAACATGCACGGCAGAGTAAGTCGCCTAATTCCTTGGACATTATGATGCATAAAGCAAAACAAGCACCGCTCAAACGTGTCTCACAATTGTCAACATTTCCGACGCGCTATGGCAAATTTAGGCTGTTTTCGAAATCAGCTGATGTTGTTGTGGTACTAAAAACATGTGCGCAAGGAAAATTACCCACACATATATATGTATAGAAACTGTGACTTTCAAATTTAAAAACGAAGTGACTTTTTCACAGCGAAGCTTATAAAATTAATATACATATGTTCATAAACCATCTCTACTCAAGTTAATAACTAGACAAATTAGCAGAATTCATTAAATAAAATTCCAATTTGTTTTTACCATATTCTTCCGTTTTGTATATATTCCTACAAATGCACTATATTCCTAACAAAATTGACTCAATGTAACAAAAAACAACATAAATTACTAAGTTGAAATAATATTCTAGTAATTTGTCATAAATCTATTAGTTTTAACATAATTTGAACAATTTTGTGTCCAACTTAGAAATCATTCTTTATGAAAGCTGTCGATTAACAAAAGTGATGAGCTTTTTTTAAATTTGGAAGCCACAAAAAGCAGTTTCATAAAACAATACCGTCAACAATTTCTTAACACAAAGTATATTTAAAATTGAATTTATAAATATAAAATTTTTATATTTAAACATACAAAGTACGGTGGTTCAGTTACATAAGCTATATCTTATAAGCTAAGTGGTGTGGTTCTACACCATATTTAAAGTTCAAAATAAAAATATATATGCACAACAAAAATTCAATATTTCGTAAAGGTAAATACCAAAGAAGTCAAGGCTATATCTTATAAACTCGGTAAATCGGTTCTCTACTATAAAGTTAAAGACAAAAACAATATAAAATTAAATTAAATTACAAAAATGCAGTATTTTCCAAACCTTTAGCGTATTTGTTAACTTGCTGAATCATCCAACTACGATCAGCTTCCGTGGCAAATGAATACTTAATTGCTTGCATAGTTAAATCGATGCATTGATGGTCTGTCATTCCAAGACTTTGGCTCGCCACACAGAATTCCTTGGTAAGCGTTGTATCGAAGATGCCACAGTCGTCTGTGCATAGCACAGTAGGCGCCTCGGCTTCCATGAGCCTTTTCAGATGGTGATCCACGAAACTGGACACAGTACCCGTTTTTATATTGCTGGTCAGGCAGCATTCGACGGGTATATCGTGATTCCTTAGATATGCAATATCTTCTGCGCTTAGGTGGGTGCCATGACCGCATCGCGACATGCCAAACTCCAGCATCTCCTTCGTCTCCTTCGGGTTATTCACTTCGGCGCAGTGCAATGTCAAGCGGAGACCACCTTCACCTGCCCGATGTAGGGCACTTGTAAATGCCTTGAATTCCCCCTTGTTGGGGTTTCCGCTTAAGTCCATGCCAACCACAATGTCGGGCTCCGATTTAAAGAACTCCAGAGCTAAAGTCACAGTTTCATCCGCCACGGCCACCGGCTCAGCGCGATTAATGGAGAGTAGCAGTTTCACACGTATGTTGGAAAATTTCTGGCGTGCTTCCTTTATAGCATCTAGCACGATCTGCACATATTCTCGGCGCGTCATGTTCTTATTAGACTTCGGCGTTGTACGTAGCTCGAGGTACATTACGTGGTCCACAGCAAAATCACGTATAACCAGTTCCGTAGCGTAGCGCAATCCTTCCTTTGTTGATGTCAGGTCGTGCACGAAAGCAAACCGCTTGAAACATTCGTCCAGTATGCAGCCGGGCTCGAATTTAGTTAGCCGTTCACAGAGATCTGTAAACTCCGCCGATTTCTTTCCATACACTTTCTCGCCCAACTCGAGCATAGCGGCAATGTTTAGCGACCCATTCAAATGAGCGTGTAACTCAACTTTGGGCAAATTATTAAGAAATTTAAAATTCTCCATACTGCATGAAGGAGTTTACCGATATGTGCTAAAATAAACAGTGTTGATAAACGTCCCAACTGTCGGTAGAACGAAACGTGTTGCCAGACTGTCGTTTAAACAACGCGAAAAAATTTGTGGGAGCTGCTGTAATTGTGCGCATAGAGTTATTCACTTCATTTTAAGCGATTAATTACTTACGTTCGTGTTTTTATGGACGCACACTTGGAAGCGCCGCCCTCGGTGCGTCTCACCAACGATGACTTCCGCAAGCTGCTCGCAACGCCCCGTGCTCCGCCTCCTAGTGGCAGCTCCACTAGCAGTGCGACCAGTGGAGGATCTTTGGCCACAGCCCAGTTCGCGACGCCTGCTGCCGTTGGTGAGAAAAAGAAAAGTCAGGGTAGTAGCGAGCGAAATGATTTGCGACGCAAGAAGAAGAACTTCTATGCTGCACTCAAGAAACAGGAGGATGTAAAGCTGCAGGAGCTGTCGGAGAAGTACAGAGATCGTGCACGGGAGCGCCGCGATGGTGCCAATCCGGATTACCAAAATGTGAGCACGCCCGGCCATGGCAGCAGCACCAACGCCTATCGTGCGGTGGCGCCGGACATGAAATCTGGAATCGATGCCGCTGAGCGCCGTCGCCGCATTATCCAGGAGTCCAAATTCTTGGGCGGTGACATGGAGCACACTCACTTGGTGAAGGGTCTGGATTATGCACTGTTGCAGAAAGTACGCTCAGAGCTGACGTCAAAGGAGGCAGAGGAGGAGGAAATTGCGGCGGCAGTGGCACGCGAGAAATTGGCTGAAGCAGCCGCTGCTGCTGAGCAATTGGAGGCGGAACGACGGGAGGCCGAGGACATTAATGCCATCAACAGTCCGTTGGCGCGCAACATCTATAATCTTGTACAGGCTCGAAGGTCCAAGGAGGTGCCACGCAACGAGCTCTTCGCACCTGGTCGAATGGCCTATGTCATTGATTTGGATGATGAAATGGGCGAAACCGATATACCCACAACACTGAAGCGCTCCAAGTTCGAAGTGCCAGTGGCGCAAGAAGATATTGCCACACTGACCACCAATGATATTGTAATTAACAAATTATCACAGATTCTTAGCTATCTGCGTGCCGGTGGACGCAACAAGAAGAACAAGAAGCGTGACAAGGATAAGCCGCTCTTCTATGAAAAGGAAATGGACCAAGTGCGTAGTTCAACGAACTCCAGCAGCGGTGGAGCTGGTAATGCCCCCAAAAACAGCAAATCAGCACCTGTAGGCGATAGCATATACGATGATGTGGGCGACTACCAGCCCACCACAACTCGCAGCGACCGGCATCCTCGTGGCGCCGGAGTCGACAAAACCAAGACAACAGCTCAGTCCTATTTCGGCGACGCGGCGCCGGAGGCAGTGGAACCTGTCATAACCAGCATACCGGCACCACCAAAAATATCCAAGGCCATGGCCGCACGTTTTGCCAACGAGCCCGAAGGCTATGCCGAATGTTATCCTGGCCTCGAGGAAATGAACGACGCCATCGATGACTCCGATGATGAGGTGGACTACACAAAAATGGATCTGGGGAACAAGAAAGGACCGATCGGACGTTGGGATTTCGATACACAGGAGGAATATTCCGATTACATGAGCACGAAGGAAGCTCTGCCCAAGGCGGCCTTTCAGTATGGCGTCAAAATGCAAGATGGCCGCAAAACGCGCAAAAATAAAACGGATAAGAGCGAAAAGGCCGAGCTCGATCGTGAGTGGCAGAAGATACAGGTGAGTTACTTAGGGTTAAGCTTAGCATTCTATCAGACTTTCTATCGGACTATCCTCAAAAATTAAACAGGGACACACTTTTTAAAAGCGGACGTTACTAACGACTTGAAATATTTTAAATAATTCATAAATGTTCTTCCGAAATTAAAAACGACTTTATTTTTACACCCACAAATTACTGAGCTATAGGTTTTAGAACTAGCTTAACACTACTCTAACAGCGAGTTTGATTTTTCCACAAATATAAATAACCGCTCCTTTGTTTTACAGACCATCATACAAAAGCGCAAATTACCCAAAGATGGAGGTTCTGGTGGCGGAGGTGGCGGCGATGAGCCAGATTACAAGTCTGCTAAATACTAGATGGTCCGGGGAATGTCAAGAATTGAACGGAAGCAACATATTTTTAAACTTTATGCTCTATTTATTAATAATTTTGTAAAACATTAAATATAATTGTATAGTTCTTAATTTGCTCACACATATCTTTTAGCCACTTTATCACTATATATATCTTAACTTTCGGTTCCACTGTTCACACTGTCCAGTTAAATGTAACGCTTAAATAGCGCGTGTAAACAGCCAAATCGCTTCTTCTACTCTTTTTGTGAAATTGCATCATTTAAATACATATAACGCCATATAATTAGTGGGTAATTAGATTATGCTTATTCTGAATTTCTACAAATATGTATTTAACTACATCAAATTGAAGCTTGCACATCAAACATATATATATATAATATTATATATAGTATGTTAGATCTAATTGTATATCGGTGTTTTGAGTTTTGTGCTTTTGGGTGTACAGCTAGAGTTGTTGGAGCCAGGAATAGGAAGGGGAAGCTGTCTTATCGCGTATGCGTTACGTTTTTAGCTTAAACATTTCAAAAAACATGATGCTCAAGATCATTTTGTATCTTCTGAAGACTGTATTAATATTGCAGCGCATTATAAGTGGATCATCATCGGATCTCTCACTTCGCTTAACATCTCAGCAATGGACCATGCGCTTAAATTTTATCTCAGGTATGTGTATAAAAAAGATTCTAGAGTTCAATCGAATTCGATCTAAGCGGTGCTGAGACTGCTGCTGTAATATTTCTCAGCTAGTCCCACTCTTTGAATGACTAATTGAGCATAGTATCATAAAGGCCTTAACTGACAATCACAAATACTAAATGGTTCCTTTAACAATACAAGTGTCTGGTATTCCAAAACAAACAATGAACAATTTATATAAATTTGGATTAATATGTCGTCTAAAAACCGTCTTAGTAGTATAAAAAAAACCACGATAGTACTTGTATTATTTTGTACAATTCCGAATAAAGAGCTCAAAATAAATCACAAATGTGATTTTAAAAGTAAAATAAATTATTGAAGGAAAAATAGTAGTTGGGACATGGATGAATAAAAGATCATATTTCAAAGATTTGTATAATCGTATTAGGACTGGATTTCTTTTCAAAAATTCTATAGCCACAAATGTGATTTGATGCGAAATAAAATCGTTTTAAAAGACATAAGTAATAATAGGGATCAAGCTTCGTATAAACGTAGTATATGACTGGATTTCTCTTTGAAATATATCATGTTGTATAGGCACTTTTACGCCAACGAGAATATTCGAGTTGGGCATCCCGATTAGTCTTATAAAGGAGTGCTGTTTCATAATTGAATAACAACTGAAATCAAATTCTAATCGACTTTTGATGATATACTAAATATTTTTCAACTATCCACTCTCTAATGCGCCACAACATTGAAACAGTTTCATTGTTCTGTCTTCTACACTATGCGCTCTATACCAAGCCTCTACACGTCTCTTCAGCTTACCTATGTTACTACAGATGTATGTATGTATATGACACCAAACATGTATATATTTAAGAACATCATACTGTTCTCTAGTATTACCATTGAGACAACACTAATGCTGGGGGAATGCTAATACTCTTAACCTCATTATTACAAAAGTAAAAGTATAAGGAAAAAATACCCTGAATAACTTCGAATAAGCCGAAGTTTGGAACTGCCCTTCACAGTGATTGCATTACAAATTTCAATTGATTTAAAACTCGAAAATGGCTGGTCAGATATCAGGCGTATTTCCGATGCTGCCAAGCATCCTCATCAGTGACCTTTTGCAGAAACAAAACCCCCCAATGGGCAAAACTGCTGCCGACGGAGGTTTTAGACTCAAAAGATTCCCATGCCAGTAAAAAATAATAAGTTCTTCAAAAGTATGGTCAGACAGGCACACAATTTGCCCACAAATCTATGCAATTGCCCAAGTAACAACATATTCATAACATGATATTTTAATGTAAATCAATAAGAAATTTTTGATACAAGCCATTATTTTTTCGAAACATAAAATATCACAAATCTGTGAGCAATTTATTTGCATGTCTGACCACAAATATGGCGTGTGAAGAGCAATTGTAGAAACAAAAAGTCTTTGGTGTGTGTTGTATACGGGCTATTTCGCGTATTCAGCTGTACTTTTCAAGCTCTACCAATACCAGTGCTGCATTTATATCCTAGATATTGCCTATGTCTGTGTGTTGCGGGTGTGTGTAGAGCTATTAGAGTGGGAGGTTGTTGGGATAGGTGTAGGTGCGTTTAACTCTTAAATAAGATATCTTTAGTGCGCTTAACTGTAAACCGACGGCGACTTGCTTTCAACTTAAAACTAAAACGAGATAAAAAAAACTAGTATACCCTTTTACCCTTTGGGTACACGGTATAATGATGAGCGGAAAATAAAGATGCTCTTTAGCTTCTGTCTAACAACTGCCGCCAGGGGTCCTTAAGAGATGTTCTTCCCATTCGACTCTAAGCGTGCACTTCTCAGTCGTTCCAGTTATTACCGCTGTCGTCAGGGGTCCTCAAGAGATGTTCTTTCCATTTGACTCTAAGCGTGCACTTCTCAGTCGTTCCAGTTATTAACGCTGGCCGCTATTGGTAGACTTCGACGCTCCACCAGCTTCACATCTCTGACACAGAGATTGTGCTTGGAATTGCTCGCAAAGCGTATGACCGATTGTGTGGTCACCTGAGGGACATGACGGAGGTCCAGCCACACCAGATTCTCGCACTTGGACAAGTGCTCGAGTGAGTTTTCCGAGACGAGACGGCAGGCGCTCAAGTTCAGCTCCGCCAGTTTGGCAATTGCCGTCGCTGAGGTGCCAATCTGGGCCACACCCGCATCGGTGATGCGCTGGCACGACGATAGATCTAGATGCTGTAGATGTGGCAGTGACTGTGTGATGTACCGCACAGCTACATCGGAAATATCTGTACCTGCCAGCTTTAACATTTTGAGATCGCGCAGTCGTGTCTTTGAATCACTCAGTCCTGGTCGTGAATCCTTGGGTGGCGATAGAATATCTCTAATGGCAGCATCATTCAAGCCTCGCACAAAGCTTAGATCCAGTATTTGCAATGGGGGACAGAGACAAGTATGCAGAGCTAAGACCGCCTGTATGGGACAATTCTGCAGCGAGAGATTCTTGAGTGCAGGGAGGCGTGCCACAACCCACGCCAATTGTCTCTTAGCAATCTGCGTCCAGTCCAGTATGAGATGCTCGGGCTGACGCCGCACAATCGCGGTCAGCAAGGAGGCGGACATTTTGTGCTCTGCGCAATTCATGCGCTTCCAGAGATCAGGATCTACAGCCGCATTCGACCAGGCCTTGCACACATGGCAGCACGTGACGAGTGTTTCGTGCGGCAAATACCGAAAGATGATCTTCAAGACTGTCGGATCCAATGCCAAGTTCTGGGAGCTGTGATGTAAATTGTTGAGGCCATTGTTGTTGCTGGCATTGGTGCCATTGCCATGACCATGGCCACTGGAATTACCGGCACTGGTACTGGCACCATTGTTGAGCCCATTACTAAGGCCCCCACTGCCAGCAAGCCCCCCATGCTGGCTTATCGAGTTAGAGGTTGGCGCTGGTCGCACCACATACTGTGGCTTCTTCAGCACACGCGTCGAGGAGTTCAGCATCTGTTGTGCAAGCTGCGAGCGTATTGAGTTCTTCTTCCGCGAACCACCACCCGAACCACCGGAAGCCAAACCACCACCACTGTGATTAGTCACACTGGCTGTGGCATGGCAGTCCATCGAGCTGCAGGGCGCATCGTTGCTCTCATGCATGCTGCTGCTCACACTGGTGCCATCGTCGCTCTTCCTCCTCTTCACCTTATCCCCATGGCCATTGTTGTTGTTGTGGCTGTGGTTGTTATTGGGCGATATTCCCGGCGAGGGAGTGTCACAGCTGTTGTTCCGTTCCGTCTTCACCTCCAGCTGGTGATGCCGCTTCAGGCCATGCTTCCAGTGTGTTGTGCTGCTGCTGCTCGCCGCCGTTCCCGACTCCATTTCCGATTCGCTCGTGAACACGAAATCATTGTATTGACCAACTGGTGGCGGCAAAAAGTTACCACTATGACTGTCATGGGCATCGCCTGAGCCACCGAGGGACTGTCCCGCGTTGGTGCCACCCACAGAAACCCGACGAACTTCCGAGGACTTTTGACGCGCCCGAAAATGACGTGGCTGAAAAATACATATGCAGAAGTTTATAAATGTGGCATTAATAACAGATCGAAATTGAATTTATTAGCAGCAAGAGAACCCTATTGCTTAAAGCTATTAAGCCTAAACAAGGAAATGCTGAATATCTGACTGGTCAATGAAACTAGAGACCACATTAAGATCAGTTGATTTATGAAATGAATCAGGAATCTTTGAATATGAATGGGGCATTCACTAGACGCATAGTGGTTTCTATATTTGAATAGCAAACCATACCACTTTATAGAAAACTACTAGTATTTATGACCGCCTTCAAATGTAAACGGAAACACTGTGCGGGGATCTACTTGTATCGCTGCACCGGCGTGGCCACGACGAATAATTTTAATATAATTACATAGTAATTCACAACTGGTTTAAGCTAATCTGAACTACTTAAACTCAAATGCTCGGCTAAGAAGCTGCATTATAAATTGTGGATGGAATCTATATACATATGTTAAGAATATTATTTCAAAACCCCCTGAATATACAACGCCTTCCCGACAGTTCGGTGCAATAAACCTGTATACCCTTAGCACATACGGATGGATGAACAGACTTGCTTATAACAATATTTGTGGTAACATTGAACATAATGTACTTCGTTCCTAATATCTAAAGAAATAAAAGCCTTCAACATATCCGTAAAACCTGTTTAGTGTCCTAGCTCTGAGTAACTCGGCTATCAGGCAGTTATTCGACCAAATCGCAACGTACCTTGTAGTCGTAGTTCTTGCCACTGCGACAGCAACTTGGACATTCCCAGCTATTGGGCAAGTCCTCGTTGACAATACCTTTGGCATCTGCCGCGTCTTCAGTGCCATCGAGCTGTGATAAAGCGCAATCCGGATGCGCGATCTCGTAGCACACTGAGCACTCCATCAAAGCCGAGGGGCCCTCAAGGGAGGCCAATTGCTTGGTTTGTGGTAACACGGGTGTCTGCCTCCAGCCATCCAAATGGCAGTAAACGCACTGCGCGGTCACCGGCAGCATGGGCGACAAACACTGGCGCATCATGCACGTCTGCTTGGCTCGTCCTGGACCGCCAAACTTGACCATGTCGGCACAGAAGGGACAGGAGCCGCAATCGGAACGCTGGCAGGCAGCACAATTCTTGCAACGAGTGCGCCGTCGACGTGGCTGACCGGTGCCCGTGAGATGAGGCGAAAGCTTCGTGTCTCCGGGTGAATGGCAATTATCGGGCGAAACTGCTGGCCCAGAGCTGTTCAGATTGTCCCCGGAGCTGTTTAGATTGTAGCTGGATGAGGTGGCAATAACGCTGACCGCATTATTTCCGTTAGGACTGCTCCCACCAGCATTGTTGTTGTTGTGGTTGCTACTGCTAGCCGCTGCGGCCACAGCATTAGCCAAATGCATTTTCTTGGGTGGGCGGTACTTGAGCGTATCCGTAGGCAGCACAAAGGTCGCTTCTGTGGGTTACAGCAAGAGGTGGAAATTATAAAGTTACTTGCTTCACCATGGAACCGAAGAATAATTCTTATTAAATACTAGATCTTCATTTTGAAATGTAAACAATTTATTTGAGATAAATAATTTATTTTGCACAGGAATTTAAAGCAATTCAGGAATTCAAAGTAAATAAATGATTTCACTAAATTGTTTTTGCGATTTTTTAACATTCTCACAAATTTGAATAATTTATAAAAAATAATTCTGATCATCCTATATCAGATTCTAAATTCGATCAAATTTGTCCAAGAAATGTTCCCAAATAAAGTGCGAGGGACAATTAAGACAAGGCGATATCAAAATCGATCAAATTTAAAAACGAGATAAGGCCTGTATTAATTAATAAGATTCAAGATTTTTTTTGGAAATATTAACTTTTTAAAAGTTGAAGTGCTTGGGTCTTTCAAGAATGTATTTTGAAAGTTAGAAAGACTATATACTTATTATATAGTGAAATTAATCAGAGCTTTTTGTTGCACTCACCTGGCTGTGCAGCTGAACCACCGCCATTCTCCAGCTGCTGTTGATTCTGCTCCTTCTTCAAGACGCCATTGCTGTATTCCACACCCGCTCCCGCAGCGCCGGCATAGCTGATATTATTGTTGCTTTGCGTCGCTCCCGTCCCTGCCTCGGATTCACCTCGTGCCGCCTCCAGCTGCTGTTGCTCACGTATTACTTCGGCATTCTTGCGTGCGATCTCCAGCTTTATCTCCTGCTTTACGCGCGTACGATCGTATACTTGATATTGTAATTGCACATCCCCGGGCGTTCGCAGGACTGACACTCCCGTCACGGCCATATCCTGCTGATCCTTGCAGTGCCGCTCGACCAATGTACGCACATCCTTAATGAGTGCCACTGGATCCAGCACCAGGCTGGGTACGTTCTTCTTTTGCGGCGGCAAATCGTATAAATACATGACTATCTCCTTCAGCCCGAAAAGTTCATAATGGGTGAGATGAGTGTGGGGACGTGCCGCCATCTCCGCCTCACTCACCGAAGTCTCACCCTCGAGATGGGAATGACCCAGCAGGGTATATACGTAGCGGGCAAGCACATACCAAAGCATTTCGGTGAAGAAGGGATAGCGAAACTTTTGCGGGACTTTTGTGTTATCCTCCACACTGGCGGTCTTCAGCTGCTTGACAATGCCGAAGGAATGTAGAAAATTTCCCCCAAAGACAAGCGACTCGGTGGGCGTGTAGACGGCATGAATCCACCCGGTGGGTATGAAGAAGGTATTGCCCGCCGTCAAATAGACCCGTGCACACTTCTCCACCGTATCGCCGAAGAAAACATCTGCCTGTTTTCCGGAGAGAACCCACTTCTCGTATAGCTGTAAATTGCGGTCTGTGGGCGGTATCAGCCAGAACACCTTACTGCCCTTCAGTATGTGATACCAAACCGATGTACCGCCGAAATCGATGTGAAAATCCGTATAGCAGTTCTTCACCGACATCAGACAATACTTCTGAACCTTGGGATACATCATGCCGCCCAACAGATTGGTGCCCTCTTTCTGTGCATCCTTCAACTGTTTGGGCCAGACGACATCGACCCAATCGATTTGGCGTACGATCTCCGGACTTTGGACATAATTATCGAGACGTGTGTGCGAGAACTCCAGCGATATGACATTAAGCAGACGATCCTTTTGGGGATTATCGTAGTACTGTTGCCACTCCTTCATTGTCATTTGCAAGTTCTTCTGTGTGTTCACATCCATGACATCTAGCAGGCGACGCGAACCGACGCACAAACGCACATCGTTCACCGTAAACTCTTGGGGATCGGGCATGCGAAGACCCAAACCGCTTTTCTCTCGAAAGAGAAGCGGTATATTGAAGCCGTGCTGCTGCAAAAAGCTGTTTGAAACACCGAATATATTTTTAGAATTCGAGATCACATCAATTACACTCAGTTGTTACTCACCCGACGGTCAAATCACTGCCCCGCATCTCTCGAACCATGCCGGCCTGAGCGAATTTCGACGACTCCAGTTTCTCGGCCACGCTAAACCCGCGTGCCCCCTCAGCATCGTCATCACCCAGTGCCCATTCCTCGAGATAAAGTTTGCGCTGCTTGCGCTCACGCTATTTAATAAAAAGAGATGGAGAAAGAGAAACGTTTTTAGCGAAATGTCTGGCTACAACTAAAATGCATTGCTAGCCATGAGCACATTGTAAATAGTTGATAAATACGTGTACTATGCAGCTAAAAATAGACACCAAGAGTAAAGGAGGCAGTAAAAATGAATCACAACAGACCGCGAATAAAAGAAGGTATGGCGTTAAAAGATGTAACTTTTTTACTCTCACTCAACCATATTGCTTAACACAGGTAACACAGTCTGTCCGATTCAAAAACACATAACAACACAAATAACTCACAGTTCAAAACTTATTTCTATTTCAGAGAGCATCCTGTGACGTCACATTAAGAGAACAAAAAGTACGATTTCCGTTGAATTCCAACAATTCTTAAAAACAGTATTGTTAATTTGTTTCAATTAATACGACTTCATTTAAAAATGGGCAGTTTTCTTACAGTTGATTGTTTTAATAAATAATATATAAGATTACTGGACATTAATTTTGATTAGATTAATTTACTTTGAAACCTTTCGCATTATTGTTGAACTAAACTGGCTCTTTCCAGCTCAATTATGATCTGGCGGTTTCGGTTAAAGAAACGTTAACACATTGTTGCTCGCAAAACGCGCGCATTTCACCACAAATTCAGCTGTGCTCCGCTGGCGCTCTCTTGCTCTCCAACTAAATTCCCCACAGCACTCACACACGCATACACACCGACTCTCCACACTTGTCGCTCAGTTCGTTTTAACTTGACCATTTCAATAATTTCGTTTTCATTCACGCGTTAGCTGGCAACGTCGACGCTGTTACCACGCTCGGTGTACGGATGTAAGCTGTCGATATGCCGTTGCTGCAAGCTTCCCAGTTGTGCGAGCTTCGCATTTTGGTAAAGCTTAGCGCACTTCATATTACGTAGTTTTTCTTGCAAGTAAACCACCACGCGTTGCCGCCCGTTCGCTATAACCACCGTTACCATTGTAGGTTGCACTTTGTAAAGGGCAATAGAAATCGTGTTGTTTTATTGATGCCTACACTCGAAGGGTAAAAATGGTACACATATGGTGAATAGAATAAGTACAACTCATTAAAATTGTATAAGATCAATCTGTTACAAATAAAAACCGGACAACAAAAATTTTACTGTTGTTAATAGTTTCACATTTATTTAAAATTGGCTCCTATCAAGCCGTTGGCGGTTGTGCAGCAACAGGAAAATACTGTTCTTTCGCTAGAAAGTAGGAAATCGATGGCTTTTCGCTCGCATTTCACAGTACTAGACGCATCGCATCACAACGTAATGTGACATCAGACAGTGGAATTTCAGCGGAATGGTGTCTCCAACCTAAACTCTTTGATAAGTTTACCGCAGTAAACAGCAGTTTATTATCGACATAATCTTCTGCCACAATTTACAGCGATGACAAACAAAATTTGACGAAATCAGTTGGTCATAGAGGTGCGCATATTTTAAAATATATTAATTCATATAGAAAATATTTTATAGTTCATTGATACATTTATAAAATATTCAATATTTACTTTCAATATTTCTAATAAATATATATCGAACAGAAACAAGAGCGATCATATAGAATAGAATAAATTCTAGTGAAAATTTTAATCTTAAAAATATCGTTTTTGATATAGCAGAGCCGAACTATTATATCAAAATGAATTATTAACAATATATGTATACATAAGTATACAAATATTTAATTATTATCATATTTTATTCTGACAGATTAAATTTGGTTGTTAAATCAATTTTATGCCAATAGTACTACGACCCCCAAACTGCAGCAGCGGATTCACCTATCCACCTCCTTTTCCTTCTGTGATGCACAGCGGCGGAAGTTTATTTGGTAGAGTATTTCACTGTTCGGCTTAGTCAACTGTAATATTCTCCATTATGTTTTTTGTTATTAATTCTGCTGCTCCTGTTGCTGTCCACTTTCTGTGCGCATGCACCGGGAGAAGCAGCAGCAGCAGCCCCTGCATGTTGCATGTGTATGCAGCGCTTTTTACATTTTCCCGCCTCTCCTCTTCTCTTCTCTTCTTGCAGCGTGCTGCTCATGCTGCTGCTGCTGCTGGTGCTGCCGGCGGGTGGGCAGCAACCAGGCATACGAACGGCTGTTGCTTTAATGCGCGGCTGAATCGCCGCTTAACGCTTCACTCAGCGACAAATAAAATATGTCTCCTGCTTTGAGTTATTTTGGCACAGGGCTGCCCGGACGTGTGGACGGACGAAGTACCACCCCCCCCCCTTGCGCCCTTCCCCACCTAGGCTTGTTTCTTTCTCATCACATTTTGCGCAACGTCTGTAAATCTCTGTTGTGGTGACTTGCAACGAATACAACGGCAGAAAAAAAAATCTATAAAAGTGCTGCGGCGACGACGACTTCGTCTCCATCTCCGAATGCTGGCTGTCCTCGTTCTCAAGCCTATGCAATTGTGTATGTATGCGTGTATATGTATGTGTGCGTGTATATCCTTTTTAAGCGGCTTGCCTGGCCGGGCCGGGCCTGGTCTGGTCTGCTGCCCTGTTCTTTGCTCTGTGTGGCACACACAAATGTAGAAACTTGTTTGGCATGTTCTAAACGATTTTTAGTGACTTTTCATTGTTTTTTTGTTTTTGTTTTTGTGTTTTGTTTTTGTTGGTCACCGCACGCCGGGAGAGGCAGAAAAGCTTGTTTTGGTCTCGCTTGGACAATCGACAGGTAGAAGCAACGAGACGAGCCAAAAGTGCGTGTATGTTTCTCTTCATAAATATATCTATGTATATATATGTACATGAACATACACGTTTAAACATGTATAAACATACATATACATTTACATACATATATATTACGTATAAATATGTGTTGTGTGTACGTATTTGTGCGTGAAGAAAACAATTCAAGTCAAGTGGTTTGCTTTGTATTTTATAGATTCGCTAAAGATCTATGAAAATAATATTCGTTTCCGATCGTTTGATATTCATAACAACCAATAGATATAAATTCGATAATGAAATGAAAAACGTCTTTCGGCGAAAGTCCAAAGTGCAGTATTCTAGTATTATACTATTTATACTTATCGTATTTAAAGTTGAAAATTAACAACAAAAATAAATGGGCTTCAACAAGTTTGCACTATTTTTGTACCACTAACCAACTACTTCTGATCTAATTGTATTCGAAAAACGGTGCTTAAGTATAACACCTGCGTATGAATATTGTTTTTAAATGTAAATATTATATACATATGTTGGACCTACAAATGTACATAATAGAGATAAGCATGTGCCTGCTTTTTTTGGAATCTTAAGCACACTACCCGAAACGAAAATACTACAACTACTAAATCTCGCAATTTAATAAATGTAATTAATTTATAGTCTATTAGCCATTAAAGAATAACTGTCTATAACCATTACTGTAAGCTAAAATCATTATAAATTTTTATTAAGAAATAAATTTAAAGTATTTGATCCAAATCCGAACTAAGAAGCCGTGTTCGTCGCTCATCTAAGATTTGGGTAAAAGATAAAAAAACACGTTCGCTGCTTGCAGAACTCACAGCATTGTTGAGTATTTGTCAGGACATTTTTCGATTTATCTCCAATTTTCCAATATGTTATGCCGGGATCGACAGTACTATATACTATACAATTTTAACCCGCCCAGTTTTTATTTTTAATTATTTTTGGAACGCTAAAAACGATTTTTAGTATATTTTTTGTGCATTTTGAAAATAAAGAATATGTTTTATATATAATATTTATAAACGTTATTCCACCACAAAGTGTTATAAATAGACAGCTTTATCTATTGTATCGGTATAGCAAAACAAATTCGACTTTAATATTATGACCGTAGCTAACCAACTAATTGAATATATACTCAAATATGCATATACATATGGACATCTATAGAGTTGTTTATTTTCCATCGCCTAAAAAAATATGAGTAATAATTGGTGTTAAATTGAAATTTAACAGCATTCATGTTTTAGTAAAGAGGTGTAAAAAGAAAGGAATTTATGAAGCCATTTAGGTCTTTGAACAACCAAAAGGAGGCGTGGCAAATTTAATAAGATGTAATAGATATATTTAAAAATATACATATAAAGGAAAATAAGAGTGCTAGAGCTAGAACTTGTTGCGCAAATTGGGGAAAGTTCTTTTATTCGTAAAATATCGTTCAAATTTCGTAATCACACTCTTTTATAGCTCAGTACGCAGTTGTATCTGAATAACACAACTGTAAAAGAAGTTAAACCTGGTAGTGTAATCTCTAATCCTGATTCTCCGCCAGCTATAGGTGTGATTCAATTAGGTACTTCAAGCAAAATTCAAATGTACATAACGAACGGATATATTTTATTTATTTTGGAAAGATCTTTGCATCCTGATTTATATTGAGAAAGCAACCAAAATTTAAATTCAATATTATTAACATGTATAAATTAAGAATACTTTTCTAGTATATTATATAATAATATTAATGTGAATATTTTTATGAATATATTTATGTATGCATTGGCTTGAATAGATTATGTTGGAGCTCATAAATAAAACTGACTTGAAATAACATAATTAACAAGACAAACCTTCATTGTAGCTGTCGCATAACAGACCAGTCATTATATTCTCTTTTTGCCATTGTAGGGCATGGCGGCGTCAATGAGGCCGCAAACAAGTTTTGCTTAGATGAGCGTAATAAATTCATGTGCTAATTGTAAACGGGTGCCAAGCAGCGACGGCATGTCTAACATGTCCGGCTAGTGGAAAAGCTAAACGCTGATGCCAGCAGCTACTTCGCTGCTTTGACTCTGGGCCGCCGGGTCTTATCTACCAAGTTGGGCAAAAACAGAAAACTTAAAAACGGTAGAGCGCGCAAGGCCAACAAGAGAGTGTGGTGGAAATGGCGTGGCAAACTATTTTGAAGCGTTTGGGATTTCTGTAACACATACAAATACAAACAAGCGCACAAATAAATAAACGGTAACAAACCACAGAGATGATAAATGTGCGTTAAAACAACTTGTTTCGGCCCCTAGGTTAGTCATTCAGTGCGTAATTTTGTGAGTGCTTATAGATGAACATGTGTTTATGTATTTATGCATAGCTGATGTATACGTGTGTATGCATACATACATATTTATATAGTATATACATATATACATAGTTGTGCTTGTGCTTTTTTTTTACTTTTTATACATTTTTCATAAGTCTATTTCCTTGCCCGCACACACACATACTGTATACTGACTGGAACACAAACACGCACACAATTTGTATCTCACCTCACTGATGGCAACACTAAAATATTCATAAGATTTTGAAGTTGGGGCTCTCGGCTCTTTTGCTTTTTTGCCTGCCCACTGTTAAATTGGCCGAAGAGTGTTGAGTTTTGTCAACAGACTTGGCCCGCCACCACAGCGATCGCTAATAACAGTAACAACAACACTTGATTTAAATTGCTGCTAATCATATGCACAAATGAAGTGCAGCATATAAAATTTTAACTTGAAGCTAAAACCAAATAAATAAAAAAACACGAGATGCCCTTTTTATGATGACAGCGCAGTTAGCGTAGACGTTACTGCCGGCGCCGCTCATCATCATCATCACCATCGGCTTAGGTCTGAGCTCTACGTAAATATGCTTGAGCAATAATGCCCATGTTGTTGTTATTGTTATCTATAGAGTAGAGTACGTAGCCAGAAATACACCACACTAAATTGAAAACGAAATGCAAACAGAAGGAAGGAAACGGCAACAACAAAAACACAGCGTGGCAACGTACAGTGTTCGAAACAGTCGATCTTTCAAATTACATTTTTTTATTGCCAAGAGCTTTTATTTGATTTCTGAAAATTACAAATTTTCATTACTTTTAGTGTTTTTTATTTTTTAATTTTTGCATTCTTTGGATTCTGGAGCAATGGGTATATTTTTATGTCAACTATTAGTGCGTTTTGATGCCATCCATATATTTTCTAAAACCTAAAAAACGCTTTCTACCTTTTTAGTACAAGCTATACATCTATGTAGATCTAGATAAACGATGTCTGAATTGCACAAACACTTGGGTAACAAATTAGACAATCATTTTATAATACACGCATTAAAAATTTAAGAACATCAAATATTACCAAGTTATTTTCTACAAAATTTTAATTCCACTAGATTGACTGTTTTCCCCATTGTCACTGCGGCAGACTGTGCCAGTGGCAGCACCAGCCAGTCCCCAACCGTATAAAAGCACAATGCTCTTGGTCATGCGGCGTCAGTTGAGCTCCACTGCTCAATGGAGAGACAGCTTCATGAGTGTTTGTTGTCGATTTTGTTGAGTGTGTATGTGGGTGGGTGTGCGTGTGCATTTTATTTATTATTTATGCTGATTTACGTTTATTACGCGCTGAACTTGACGCATGAAAGAAATCGGCGGAATGACAAAATCAAGGCGTTTCAACTATCTGCAGGTGCGCAGGCATAATTGTTATCAAATGTAATTATTGGACTTATTGGCGATCCAGTGATAGTGTAAATTATATATGTATGCAGTACTCACCAATTGACGACGCTGCACACCTTTGTTGTTGTTGCTGCTGCAGTTACTGTTGTTGTTGCTTTTGCCAGGCGACGACCCCGTTTCGGCGGCGGACATCGCCACAAAATCGTTTTTACTTTTACTTCACTTGTACACACACACGCTCTGTTTAGTTATAATATGTGGGCCTTGGCGTTTTTTGTTGCTGTTACTGTTGGGCTCTAATCAGCGCCACAATGATATGTGCACACAATTAGCGTGTTTGTTGCCGTTGTTGTTGCAGGTCTCTTTTACTTTTATGAATTAATTATTTATTAAGTAGCTAAGCGTATTTATTTAAAAGTGTGCCACAAGGTGTTTCATATTATAAATTTCATATTTCAAATACGCGTGCTGCAAAACACAAAGATTAAAAATACATATTTAAATACGATTCGTCAATTCTTTATCTATAATAGGCACACACTCGTGCGGCATTTTATTTTATTTTTTTGTTTTTTTTAGTTGAAGGTGACGTTGCCGGGCCTTTAAGCAGCATTTATAAACAGAACACACACATGCACAGAAAGCATACTAAACAAATTAATTACGTTTATTACTTAAGTAAGTATGAATTCATACAAATTGAACAAAACGACTCACACAAACACACTTGAATACACGCACATATATTTTCTCTGTAATTTACGGCACTTGACGCGATATCTTCCGCAGCACCAATTCCTACACTTGCTCACTCCCACACACGACGACAACGACTGAAAAGCATGGCCTGCAGAAAAGAATTTGGTAGTGGTAGTAGTGCAGCAGAACTCAACACAAACGCCACTGAACCCAACTCAGTTCAACTTGTATGGTGTGGTGAGCCCCGGCAGCAGTATTGTTTCGTATACGTGAAATTCAACACAAGAAACAGCAGCAACTATGGGGTAGTGCACAGTAGGGAATAGCGTAAATTTTTTCGAAAAATAAAAATGCTGGTATTGATTTAAAATAAAAATCTCCTCTTCTAGACCTAATTTACTGGCATTATAAATAGTCAACTAAATAAATTCTACTAAAAACCAAACACCTGTTTAATTGCAAAGATTCCAAATTTAATTTACAAAATAAACTTTTTATCCCACAGTTCGTTTGTAGAGTTCAATGCAATGTGCACAACACACGTGGAAACGCTCTTTAAACACACCACAGCTCTCTCACTCTTTGCCGCTATCGATGCCTCATCTTGTCAAGGTACAAAGAAAGTAGGAATGGCGCATGTCCGTTATTTGGATTTCTCTTCGTATGTCGTCACACGATGCACCGTGGCTCAGCTACATATATTGGCAATATAACTTTTAGCGTATTTCAGGAATAATTTGTCAAACACAAATATAGTTGATGTAATGATACTTCGTGTTTATACAAGAGAGCTTGTTCGATTAGAACACACCGTGGAAGAGACGGAGTACGTAAATGTATTGTGATGTCATATGTACGCGCTGTATGTGAATTATATTATTAAGTATGAGCAGTAAGAGCAAAAAATGATTACTCTTAAATGCCATACCTTCTATTTTTTACCATGGTCGATGCCTCATCTTGTTGGCTGTTTGCCTGTGTGTATGTATTTCAGCTAAGCGACTGCCTATTATTTCACAGGTCAACGCAAAATATTTTTCTATGTGTCAGGCTCAGTCGCAGCATAGTGGCCGTTGCGGTTATACCTGTCATTCGTTTGATTGTGCGTCAACCGGGCTGTTATCTTGCTACATCTACGTAAGTGCGTTATGGATGTTTAACTGCCGCTTTTCTATGTCAAGCCATTGCATTTTGGCGTAATATTTTGCTGTTTTCGACAGCCACTATGAATTTTTGCTATATAATAGCAGCAAAAGCGGAAGCCTCTTACTTATCAAATTGGCAGCACATTTGAGGATGATTTGAATTTATGCCTACAAATTAATACATACATACGTATGTATGTATGTGTGTGTTTCCCCTATATTTCCCAGCCCACGTATTTATCATTTACGTACATATGTATGTATGTTTCGCTTTTCCCCATGAACTTGTAATAAATATTCTAAATTTGCACTTGAGCATTTTTGCGCCGCGTAGCTAGTTTTTGTCAGATTTTTTGCTGCTTGTTGGCTGTGGTTGCTGCCTCTGTTTCGGTCGCTGCCAATGTTGTTGGCGTCGTGGTGGTGGTGACTGCTATTGTTCTTTCTAACAGCGAGATAGGCTGGCTGGCTTTTTTCTTCCAAATTACAATAACTTTTAATTATAATTAATACGTATATATGTACGTGTATGCACCATTCAAACACACGCACACTTACGCCCGCTTTGCCTTCGATTGACAGATATGCAGAGCAATAGTTAAAAACTAACAAAAATATCGTATCACGCACACTTGCGCATTACACATTGGCGGTAATTCAACAAACATCTGCTGCTACGCGCACTTTGTAAATTATCTGCGAATTTATTGCTGCTCATTTTTTTGTACCCATTTTTTCGCACTACATACATAGAGCACTGCCTCTGCCACGAACCACCGAAACAAACGCATCCGCACCTCTCGAGAGAAAAACTCAGACTGTTTTGGTAATTGAAGCAATTACAACAACACGGCCTACGAATGAACACACGACTGTATTTCATTTCCCAACACACTTAATCGATAACAGCGATACTTATTGTAGATTCAAATTAGCTTTCGAACACAGTGTTGGTAAATGTCGCCCACGCACATTGGCGCACAGTTTTTCACTTCAAGTTGATTCCAAATGTTCAGTATTTTTAAAGTCCCAACTAAGTTTACTGCTTGTTTATTTGCATTGAAACGAACATACTTAATTAAAAATCTTTGCATAGAACAATTAACAATTTTGGTTACATCAATTGTGGCTTTACAGTTATCGGGAGTTGTTTATTTATAAAATCACATATATTTTTTTTGTGGGCATTCAAGCAGCAAATTGGTAAAATACATCTATAGTTTACGTGCTGATATACTGTCTAAAAAGAACATAGTTTACTTAAACTTATGCTCGAACAAAGGACTGCCAAACGTAGCTTATTTCCAATTACAGCTACAGGTCCAAATCTTCATCCATTTGTTCGTCAGCCTTATTTAAATTCACGTTGCATGTGTTGTTATTATTAAAAAATCCAAGCTCGTCATAATCGTCTAGACCCGTAGCAGGTGGAGCGGAGGTGGAAAGGCTCTGTTGTTGAGAGTGTTGTTGTTGCTGGTGCTGGTCCTGGTTCACAAAATTCTTGGCAAGCGGAGGTGGCTGCCAAGGCACTAACGCTGTACACGGACGAGGTATAGACTTTATCAACAACTCTGCTGGTATAATTGCATCAGTTAATCCGCCAGCCTGCTTTAATTCATCACAGATTACAATGCGATTGGCATTGCGCAACTTCTGTTCCAACTCTATGGCAGCCATTTGATAAGCCGGATTTGGATGATGATGAGTTTTGCCCGTACTGGTTGAAGGTATATCATCACTGGCCAGCCCGCCAGCACTGGTTATGCCATTGTTATTGACACCGCTGACGCCAGCCACACCCCCTCCATCTCCGCCAGAGATTTGTAGCCCACTAAAATGCATCGTGATGCGTTCTTCGGTGATCAACTGTTTCGGTGGGCTGCACAAACACACAAGCGTGAGAGTTATCCGACATGTTCCAGATATGTTTGGAAGTTGAGTTATACTTACAGCACGGCCTCTTTGCTCTGTCGCTCTAGCGCCTTGCGTTTAAGCTGTTTATACTGGGCATCAGTCTCTATATTAAAGCTGGCTTTATTCGCATTGGAGCCAAATTGCATAACGCCACCTGGTTGTGGAGCACTGGTAGTCGCTAACATCCAAGGCATGCCGTCGAGCAACCAAGGAGTTGCAGGCTGAGGGAACACGCATTTTTCTGCTTTGTGACCATGGCTCGGACTACTTGCGCCATCGTACGACCTGCAGGCGGCCAGAAACTAATTAATGAAATGGCTGTCATATTACTAAGGTAATAACCTCATACTTACTGCATTTTAGGCAAGTGTTTTTGTTTTTACGCATACAGTTAATATTCTTCTCGAGTATTTGTGTTGTTCCAAACAGAGAGCTCTCCTTCGCAATTTCGCAGTTAGTGTATGTATGACTATCGGTGAATCAAGTGGACAGCACCCTTTTCAGTGTTGCTAAATTTACTTCTGGAATTTACTAGAAAACGACAACGCCATGCGCATTATAAAAGCGCGCGGCCATAACTGCATTTAAATAATTGAACGTTAAAAGCGCAAGTGTAAGGTGTTAAAATATATTTCAAATAAATATTTGGTAAAAAATATTAAAAAGTGTTGTAAAAATTGAAGTGCAAATTGAATATTAAATAAAACTCCCATCAAAATGCGTTTCACAAGGTAAGCAAATTATTCAATTTTATTGTAGGATTGTTAAGAATTTGTTACAAAATACCAGTATATACATATGTATATGCCATTTATGTTAAGGCCTGTACTAGGTCACTTACATTTGCCTTGAATAAATTCCCAATTTATATAGTAGAACACAAATGAAACAACCTATATTGAAAGTTAAGCAAACTTTGCTTTAAATTGTTGATATGCTGCGTTTTGCCTATCTCAAGTTAAAAATTTGGACGACACATTGAGAATCTGTGGGCGTTCATATTCATTGTCTCGGGCGTATGTATGTATTCACATATTTACATAGTAGGTATACTTTCTTTTGCTTATCAGCTCGTTGTTCGAAAATAACATGTTTTTCAACCCAAAAACAACAGCATAGCGAAAAATCAGCCATGGGAACAACATTTAAATGACGCTGTTATTTTTCACACCAGCTCAGGCTTAACAGTTACTAAGTCTGGCCCCTTTGCTATAATCTAGTACCGGGCTGATGGCGAACTGCATCAAAGGCTTCTTATCAGTTCAAGACAACCGACCCCCTGCTGTGCAGCACATTGACGTAATGGCCCAGACAACAGTTGTCAATTTCGCCTACAGATTTCATCATGCGCGAGCAAGCAAAACATCAATATTTTTCCCAATACCTGTTGCCTATATAGTTTTGTAAACGTGTGCGTCAGTTGCATAGTGAAATTTTTCAATTGTTATCGAGTATGGAAACTTTTGGCTACGTCTGTAAAAAGCTTTTTGTTGTTGCTTGCCAACTTTTAAGTCACGCTCTCTCTCTGGCCGTGGCAGTCTTATGAGCTTTTATCCAAAAGAGCAACACGTGTGGGCTGGATCTTATTTTCAGCAGTTCATTAAGAACAATCAAGCGGTGCAGTTTTGCATTTTCCAGCAAAAAAGTGAAATCAAAGCAATCATAAAGTCACAAGGTAGAGTAAGCAACAACACACATGAAACAAAACTAAAACATATCTCTAAGCTCTAGCTGATATTTAATCCAACCAGGCAGTGCACAAGGTTATTAAATTATTTAATTAAAAAATTTATTTTAGGCATTGATTAGCCAATTTTCAATATCATCCATGTAATTACCAAACGCCAATTTGTTTAGTTGCATATAATCCACTTGCCAATTACTAATAAAAATAAACAAAAACGAGAGAACTGATAACGCGTAGCCACCAGACAAAAAACCTGTGCTCAGCAACAGCAAGAGTTGCTCAAAGGGCGGTCCATAAAATTGAAATTGTAGACATTACAATTAAAATTAAAAAATAAACAAAGAAATGTATTGAACAGGCAAATGTGTTTATATAAAAAACGTTCCACACTTTCCTTTGTTTGTGAATCTATTAATCCCCTTTAACAAATTTTCCCCTACGTGTCTGGCACATTTTATCTACTATGTATTGTGTGTGAAGTTTACCTCATTTCTTCTCTTCAGTATTTTGGAATTTTTTTTTAGAACACAAAATTTTTAGTATACATAAATTAATTGGTGATTGAAAGATTTTCGCGTAATTGCATGGAAGTGTTCTGGATTTAAATTGCATTTCGCGAATGTAAACTTTCCTTGTTTTCGGTAAATTGCACATGCCTTTAATTTCTTAAGCCATAATATAATGTGGGCACAGCGCTTAGCGAGCTCAATTGTTGTGGGTATTCAGACGCGCAAATATGCATCAAACAGCAGGTGGGTTTTTTTTTATATAAATTAAAACAAACTACAAATATTGCAATAAACTTGACAACAAAATATATAAATTTGTATGTTTACACATGTATGTATGTATGAATGAAAGCCAACAGCACAGCTGTTTGAGAGTTGCCACCTTTTTGATATTACGAGCTAGTAAAAGCAGTTATTTTTCTTTCGCCAAATTATTTTATTATTAAATTACAGTACCATTAAGCTTAGATAGTTATAAGCCTAAGTTGTGCTCTGACCAACTTAAATATCTGATTGAAAATTGATATTCATTAAAGATATGGCAGCTTGCTATCATCGTGGTGAGCTGTGCACGTGTTGGGCTCTGTTGAGTTTGAAAATTCAAATTAGGCTACCTGTTTATAAACACATCATTAGCATTTAGGCACGCTAGCACATGTTTTAGTAACAAGACGCTATTGCCATTGTGCCTAAAAAGCTCAATGCACAAAGCTTTTGTAGATAATAAAACCTGTTATCAGCAGAGAGGAAAAATATACATACATAAACGAAGTGCTCGCGTTGCGATTACGATTGCACACGTACATTCATATATAATAATATACATATGTATATGTACATATGTAGGCATGTGTACGTGTGTATATGTTAACGCTCTTACTTGATTTCATTCCAACCGTTTGTTCATTTCCAATTGTGCAGTTGAGAGCTAAGTTCTAAAGTGTTTCGCGATCCGTGCCTTTGAAACGATTACATACTTTATAAAAATATACATGCATAAGAATGTACAAATATAAATACATATAGCGCAGTCGTTTGGCATCTCGTTCATTATTCGTTATAAACATCTTGGGCGTACGAATTCTACGAACCAAGAGCGCAGAGCTTATAGCACCAGAAAAAAAAAAAACCACACCGACGAACGAGGAGTAAGCCCCATGAGTCATCCTGACGTGGCTGCGCCTCTTTTAAACATTTTCAATCAAACTGACGACGACGTCGACCTCGGGGAAGTACCTAAATCACAGAGCAGTGCCAACCACAATCGGCACGAGCAGCACACGATCCATTTCATTGTTGTTTCGAGAGCCCAGTGAACCGGTGGTGCCTTCGCTGCGACGCAAATTATTTATTAAATTTATAAAGCAGTAAAACTCGCACACTCACGTGCAAACACATTCACGCTTCAATACACACGAACAACTACCTATACATATAAACGAAGATCGTGGCGTTTTTTATTATCACTAGAAATTTCGTGCGAAAAGGGCCAAAATGAGCCAGTATTACGACCTGGACAAAGGCAAAAATGTATCTATATATATGAACGATTGCTCCAGCACTAGCGGCTATAGTAGCACCAATTCGCCGTCGCCTGTGTCTATGACGATGACTCTTTCTCCCGCCCATTCCCCCGAAACAATGGCACTGCAAACAGATTTTGATAACCTCACCTTGCCAGCAGCAAACGTGAACTCACCACTTCACGCCATGCAAAACACACCATACCAGCAGTCTCAACAAAATCAGCTGCTCCCAAATGCCGCAGGCATTTCCATTGATGGCAACAATTTATTGAATGGTGGAGGCAGCACTCTTAATATTAATATTGCAAATATGTATATGGATCATCATAATTACACCTACGGTACGACGGCGACAACAGCGGGCGCACCGGCAGCGGGTGCCTTCGGAGCATCTGCAGCCACTTCTTTACATGCAACAGATGCGGCCCCAGCCCGCGAGTTCAGCGCTTGGTTGCACATTGCTGAACAGCCGGTGGAAAAGTTTCGCTTTCGTTACAAATCAGAAATGCACGGCACCCATGGTTCGCTGAATGGTGCCAACTCGAAGCGCACACCCAAAACATTTCCGGAGGTGGAGCTGAGGAATTATAAAGGACCTGCAGTCATCCGATGCAGTCTCTTCCAAACTAATTTGGACAGTCCACATTCGCATCAGTTGGTGGTCCGCAAAGAGGATAGGGATGTGTGTGATCCGCACGACTTGCGGGTGTCGGCGGATCAGGGCTATGTGGCCCAATTTATGAACATGGGCATCATACATACGGCAAAAAAATATATTTTTGATGAGCTGCTTAAGAAGAAACAGGATCGCCTCGTCTTTCAGTTGGGCCGACGGGAGCTGTCCACCAAGCAGATACAGGAACTGCATCAGGAAACGGAACGCGAGGCCAAAGACATGAATCTGAATCAGGTAAGTCGCATTTACATTCGTATATGAATGTAATTTTTCAACATTCTTGGCACTTTTTAGGTGCGGTTGTGCTTTGAGGCTTTTAAGGTTGAGAGCCCCACCACCTGGACGCCCATTGCCAAGCCCGTCTTTAGCAATGCCATTAACAATCGTAAATCGGCACAGACCGGAGAGCTGCGAATCGTGCGACTTAGCAAGCCCACAGGCAGCGTATCGGGCAATGATGAGCTCATACTGCTTGTGGAGAAAGTGTCCAAGAAGAACATTAAGGTGCGCTTCTTCGAGGAGAATGACGACGGCGAAACAGTTTGGGAAGCCTTCGCAAAGTTCCGCGAGTCCGATGTCCATCATCAATATGCCATTGTATGCCAGACGCCAGCCTACAAGGACAAGGATGTGGATCGAGAGGTCCCTGTGTCCATCGAGCTCATACGACCCTCCGATGATGAGCGCTCCTATCCACCCCTGCCCTTCCGCTACAAGCCACGTGAGGCAATAATATCGCGCAAGCGCCGACGCACTGCCTCTATGGCCACCACTAGTAGCAGCAGTAGCAGCAGCGGTAGTGCAGCTAATTCATTCGAGCTACCAAAACCGGTGCAACAGCTGCAGCCCAGGCAAAACGCGCTGCAAGATATTCAAACCATAAGCCAGGAGTTCGGCCGCGACGAGCATTTAAATGATTTACTGAGTCTCAACATAGCTCCTGACAACTTCCAAGCCCTTATGGAGCAGGATTCTGCCGACCTGGAGAAAATTTGCCTACAGGACATATATATACCCGATTTGCCGCAGGAGGAACTGCAGGCAGACGGGCATAGCCGCTGTGTAACCCAAATGAATGCAAGGGTTAGCAACAATCGCAACACCAGTAGCAGCTATTTGAATGCTATATTTAAGATTTTTGAAGAATCGCGTCGTCTCACGCCCGGCGATGTGGGCTTCGAGAGCGCACGCAAAAAGGTCGAAGAGTTGTTTACAACTCATGCCCTAAAGAATTACAATAATGACACACTGCTCCATGAGGTTATCAGTCAAAAGAAGGACAACCTGAAGCTGGCCATCAAGACATTCCAAGTTATGAATTTCTTCGGACTGCATGACGTGGCCAACACATTGAATGCTGATGGGAATAGTGGTTTGCATTTCGCTTGCCAGCAGGATCGTGCCCATTATGTACGTCCTTTGCTCACCATGGGCTGCTTGCCCAACACTCAAAATCATTCTGGGAATACAGCCCTTCACATAGCTGTAAAAGAGGAGCGCCTGAATTGCATCGACAGTTTCCTGAACGGGCCCACTATTACGTTGAATTTGACAATCAAGAATGATGATGGGCTGACTCCATTGCATATGGCCATAAGGCAAAATAAGTTCGATGTGGCCAAAAAGCTGATCAAACACGACGGAAAATCCGTGAATGTCGTGAACACCAAGGATGGAAACAATGCTTTGCATATGGCCGTACTGGAGCAGAACTTTGAACTGCTGGTTGTCATATTGGACTCCCAGGATCTATCGGATGTACTGTTGGCACGCAATGCGGCCGGCTATACGCCACTGGAGCTGGCACGTCGACGCGCCAATAAGGAGTGTGTCCGTGTGCTCGAACAAGTTCAGCCGGACCTAACAATGACCTGGATACCGTGCAGTGTGAAAGCAGAGGCGGACTCCTCATCAGCCGAGGACGATGATGAGAGCAGTGAGACGGCGATGGAAAACAAAATGGATGACATAGAAATTAAACCGGAAGATATCAAAGAGGAATTGCCAGACGAATTTGAAGACGAGCAACAAAAGCTACAAGCGGATCCAGCACACAGTCTAATGCATCTCCTTAAAGATGAGGCCAAACAAAGGAATTTGAGCAAACTGCTCAACGAGAAGTGGGAACGCGATGACAAGAAATTTAAGTGGCAGCAGCTAGCCGAAAGCCTTAAAATGTCGCACATGGTGTTCCTCTGGACCGATGCTGACGAATTGCTCAAATATATCGAGAGGAGCAACAACATTGATTACAACTCCTTTGCCAATGCTTTGAGAACGATCGACCCGAAAGCCCTGGACGCATTGAATAAGAGTTGATAATTATAGCTATTCCTGACGATCCTATACGTACATACATGTATACTAATTATGCAAGAATCGGATACATGGTATTTTTGTATTACAAGTTTAAAGTTGAACAATTAAATTTATCCTAGGTTTAAGAAAATGAAATTGCCTATTACTATGCCCTAAATCGCTATCGATACGTTAAACGATGCTGGCTATTTTTGTATTGCAAGAACCTGCTCAATAAAATGCGAAACCCTAATAGCGTTTACAAGTGATACCACATTGTATTTGTTTACTGTCTCAGAATCAGGGGATTCACTTTTCCATCTCTTGACGCCTTGCCCTCTCATGCGAACGCTTCCGTTCACGCATTCCACTTTGCTGCAAAATAAGTGTGAATCACTTTGTACTTTTGTCGTTGGGGATTTACACGACCTTTGAAATTCCCCACACAGAGCTTATCAGGTGGATGGTGCCTCAGTGTGGTGTTTTTTTTATTTTATTTTTTTTAACCACAATGTTACGTTTATAGCAATCACATTTTTCGTATAGGATTGGTACAAATCGGTTGATCTTTTGAAAGATCAACCAAAAAAAGCATTTGATCGGAAAAATAAATTGCAATATGAAATTTCAATTATTTATACAATTTTGTACTTCACTTATGGTATATTCTCCTGAACGGGTTTGTTGTTTTCCATAAAAACTTGTATTATTATATAATAATGAATATTTGATTACCAATCTTTACCAAATAATTAACCATAAGGAAGCTTTTTTCAATATTCCTTCAATTGAAATGATTCTGACCTCAAACCTTCCAACATTTGTTCTTCTCTGCAAATAATCAAATATTTCGAAAAGACCATGTAAATGTGTATAATGAAAGACTGGAACTCATTTGGAAATCTGCAGTGGTGTGAACATATTGCTCACATTGCGGAATTTTGTCAGGCTCACATAATTAGGAACATTTTTAAAGCCGCCCAGGGATTTTGCAATTCTTCCCAATCTACACGAAAGAAAGCTTGTTTCCTTTGCGTCTTCGTATGACCAAACTGATTCAGACATGTTCCAAAAATATTAGTTTAGTGCTTTATTCTAGCAGACAACATACAATTATGTTTTAAATTAAATTTTTATGACTTTAGAAAACCGTCTCTTCCTTCATAATTAATCAAATCTAAAAAAACAGTGGTAATGGCAAATGGAGATGTGGCAAACCCCACATTCATAAACTTGATCCATACGACAAGATGATATTGAAATGTCCGTCTGTATGAGCGTAGAATTTTCATAAAGTAAACTTACTAAGAAGAATCGTCAAGGAAGATTATAGTGATAGAGATGATTTATAATATATTATTTGCATTTTATTTTTATAAACATTTTTAAAACAAATTAAATTGTTTTGGCTTGGGTTGGTACTGGGTTTTTAAGTTAAATTCTTTTTTTTAATATTTATTGTGGAACTTCCTGGTGGTGCTGGTGCTTTCGCCACTTCATGGATGTCATCAATGGTGAAAATATCCATTAATCTCCTAGAGATTGATCAAAATCAGTGGATTACATATTTTCGAATTTAACCTGAGGTTAGAAGTATCGATATTTTATACGCTTCCAGAATATGTATTTTGTTTTGTATAAAATAATTCTTATACTTGTATAGGTTAGTAAATTGAATTGAATAACTGAGGGGTATTTTGTCTGTTGGACCGCATTCACTTAATCGATTTTTCTGGGCTAGATTTTTTAAGTATCTTTTAATTTTTGATCTTCTAGCAATATGGCTCAAATTATTGATGGCAAGGTGATATCCAAGCAAATCCGCTGTGAGCTCAGCAAAGAAGTCCAGGACTTGATATCCGCCGGCTATCGTGCCCCCCACTTGACGGCAGTGATTGTGGGCGAAGATCCGGCCAGTCAGACATACGTACGCAATAAGATACTTGCCTGTGAGGAGATTGGCATTAGCAGCGACACCAAAGTGCTGCCCAAATCGACGACACAAGAGGAATTACTGAAAATAATTGAAGAAGTCAACAAAGATCCCAAAGTTGATGGACTGCTGGTCCAGTTGCCAGTGCCCGAACACATTGATGAGCGGACCGTATGCAATGCTGTGACCGCCGACAAGGATGTCGATGGTTTCAATGAGGTCAACATTGGACGCCTGGCCCTGGATATGGAGGGCATCATACCGGCCACACCATTGGGCATTAAGGAGCTGCTGAAGCGCAGTAATATCGAGACATTTGGACGCAATGCTGTGGTGGTGGGACGCTCCAAGAATGTAAGTCTGCCGATGGCCATTTTGCTGCATTCAGATGGTAAGAATGCGACCAAGGCACTGGATGCTACAGTCACTGTGTGCCATCGCTATACTCCGCCCAAGGAGCTTGCCAAGTATTGCCGTATGGCCGATATTGTTGTGGTTGCCGTTGGAAAGCCTGGGCTCATCACCAAGGACATGATTAAGCCCGGCGCCTGTGTCATCGATGTTGGCATCAATCGCATCAAGGACGAGAAAACGGGCAAGACCAAGCTAGTGGGAGATGTCGACTATGATGGTAAGTAGTGGAACACTCTCTTCGAAATTCGAACGGATGATATTTTCTTTTCCACAATTTCAGAAGTACGAGAGGTTGCTGGTCACATAACACCAGTTCCAGGAGGTGTGGGTCCTATGACGGTGGCCATGCTGATGCACAATACACTCCAGGCTGCCAAGAAAAATCTCTGCAAGGCTGATCAGTAATCGAATATCAGTTTGTGCCCGTGCCTCCTGCAATGCAATAGTATTTCGTTATTTTAATCATTTACCATATAGTTGATTAGTTATTACCACCACCAGACTCTCTTACTTGACCATAATACATTGACACAAATGTAATATATTAACACACCTATGTAATGAACACAATTAAAGTTTAAATATATTTTGGTTTATTACATTTTCTTATATTAAAACGGCTAGTCTTTTGATTTTATGAATTAACCTAAGTTTGGGTGCTAAAGTAAATAATTTTGAAACAAAATACATTGGTACATAACTTTTTCTCAAAAATGTAAAAGTACTTTTTTAAATAAATTCACCACTACCTTCAATTTTTTGTGAAATAATTCTGCGATATATTTGTAAAACATCGCATTTTGAAATGTTGGTTGCAATTTTGTTGCGACAAGTTAGCAGCGCCGGTCACTGCAATTCAATTGTATGAACCAGCTCTATTTTATATATAGTTCCGTAATTAAATTCAGCTATTTACTTGCTTGTACTGTTTATTAAAAAAAAAAAAAAAACTTACATTATTTTAGTGCCAATGTAAAATGTCTTTTCTCGTTTTGAGAAGGTGGTGCCTTATAGCTTTTAGGGCTCCTAGGGTTCCAGTTCCTGATTTATACCATCGAACTACTTTCTGAACGAATCGACTCAACACTATCTGCCGGTCGTTATGGTGTTTCTATATAGCTCGGGCTTAGTTGTCAGTATTTGTATTCTCCTGTCGGTGCTAGTGTTATTCGAATATAGTTTTTCACAACCAAATAAACTAACTTCAAAAGAAACCATTGCAACAATGGCTGCACCAAGTAAACAATTGTTATACGCCTGCAACTTTGAAGTCTTTGGACGAGTGCAAGGTAAGTTAAGAGACGCAACATCTTATTGCGGCCAATATAATACAATACTAATTCCTGCAACTTTCAGGTGTTTTCTTTCGTAAGGTAAGGTGTTTCCGGTACTCCTCTAATCTAATCGCAAACTACACACGCGCATACATATGTATTTTTAAATATTGAGCAATTTTTCACAAATATCGTTGCTGTAGTACACAGAGAAACAGGCGAAAACCTTGGGTGTTCATGGCTGGTGCAAGAATACCAATCAGGGTACTGTAAAGGGGCAGTTGGAGGCACCTTTGTCACAGATAAATGAAATGTAATTGCTGCAAATTTATAGAAATGGGTCCAGTTTTATGTCATGCCTCCCCTCACTGTTTCCAGGAAGCACTGGCTCCAGAATAAAGGCAGCCCCAAGTCCGTCATTGAAAAAGCTGAATTCTCGGAAGCCAAGGAGATTTCTGCATATACGTTCGATGAGTTCTCCATAAAGCGTTAGTATTCCGATATACATGTACATACTTATGTTTTTTACGTACGTGCAAAGGATCAAGATTCTTATACTGCAAAACATTTAGAAGTTACAAAAATGTATCATCCCCAAACTGTAAGATTGTTTATCAGCACGTAGAATTTGTTTATTTATTTCAGTTACTTAAATCTATTAATGAACAAGCGCGTAAATTTTTTCTGCCGAAAAAAACTATATAACTACTCTTCAGCAATCTTTTCGAATAGCACGTTGGCAAAAATTTTATTTGAGGTCCAGGCCCCTATTCCGTAGTCATCAGATTATCCAATAAAAACTATCTAAGCTGTAAAGACGGATTATGTGCATTGTGCTTTGATTCAAACCGAATTCAAATTGGGTTCGAAAAGTGAATTAATCAAGCCACAATTACTCTGTTTATATGTGGGTGGTAGCAAGAAATTAATGCTCTATGCAGTAGAGCTGCATTTTGCGTAGTAACGATTTCAGTGTTGCCACTTGCGAAAAGTAACGATGAAAAGGAATTTCCAAACGGCATCTCACTCAAGCGCATGCACACACTGATTGTCAGCTGCCATTGCCGTCGCATGTGTTGGAGTAGGACAACATCATGGTGTTGCGTACTTTGGTCGCGGGCATAAGAAACGAGTACAGCTCCGAATACACGTCGTTTTGCCAAAAGCGTAGCAGCAACGAATAAATATAAATGAAAAAAATCGGTGAAAAAAGATCGACGAAGAACTTTGCTAGCAGGAGCGTCACCATTATTGCAAGCAACAGCAGACAAAATAAAATCGTGTGTTGTGTAAACTGCTGAAATTGTGCGTATACAAATTATAAGTAAATTTTAAGCAATTACAAATTCTTCCGTGCTTCTGTGTTTCTATGAACGTGTGTGTGTATGTGTGTGCACAATTTGGTTACTTTCGCGCTGAAAACGTTTTCCTACTACCTTTTTTCGTCGTATGAAAAATTATGTATGTACATACATAAGAATAATGGCTGCACAGCACTGTGTGCGTTATGCGCATTTGTAATAAAAAGAAAACTATTTTGCATTTCTTGCCTATGTAATGTGCAATTTTTTGTATGTGCGCCATTTTTGTGCCGTGAACAAAAATTGAATTATTGTGTAAATAACTGAAAATAGTGGAACACTGCTAGACACATACACACACTCATACAAACAAACAAACCGAGGCACATGTACTGTCATGTACTCCTAATGCCCGTGTGTGTGTGCATGTTTTTTCTGTTCCGTTCGTTTGGGTGTGTGAGTGTGCGTAGCGCGCACATATTGAAAAGAAGGCGCGATAGTGCAATTAAAACTAAATAATTCAATATATTAAAAATTATATAAAAACAACTTGAAACATACAGTTTAAATTCTGAGAGTGTGCTGCCCTCCCCTATTTATGTAAGCGCTGCCGCCTGCCTGAAGTGTGACGAAATTACGTTGCCTTACAAACGATTTCATCACTAGTCCAGTTTGCTAGTTGTGTTCTATATGGCCCCTCGAACCACGCATATATTCAGTAAAGCACGGATGTATTCAACAATACATTTTTTTATTGCGCATCATTGTGAATGAGCAATACAGCGCGCATTCTCTCTATAGCGCGCGCTCGCCATTCGCTCACAACAGGCAGAGCTGCCGACAATTCTTTAAATGTGTGCGAGTGTATTATGTGTTTTGTACATAAGGCACGCCGGAAAAGATTTCCTATAGGAGGCGTTCGCAGACAAAATGCATGTGAAGAAGGCTCAATAGCGGTATTTTACATTATTTTTTGTTAATTGTATAATGTATTTATCGTTTTGAGGCAAAACAAACGAATTGAAATGAAACAGCGATATGGTGAGCGTGACGATAACGCGCACACATACACACACATAAAAACAAACAATTTTAGAAACAGCGGCAAACTAAGCGGTAAAATTTTTATACATACACATGTATGTATTTTGTACATGCATAATATATGTACATACATATAGTATGTAAGACCAACAAAATGAGCGGCTTTTTAGTTAATTTTGAGTAGGCCAACTGAAGCGCACACTTTGTTCTATTCTGTGAGAGTTGTCTGTTTGGTATTTAGTTAGCAAAGTGTGCGTTTGCTTGTGTCAACTTGCAAATAAATTACGAACAATTAATAAAAATTATTTCCCTTTTTTGTTGTGCGAAATAGCAACTTGCGAAGAGTGCCCGTTCAAAATTAGTCGAAACGAACAAATCTTGCCGGTCGCAATCACAACAACAAGAGTATTATTGTCTGGCCAAATGCGGCAACCGACTGGGCCGCAATCGTTGAGCAGCAGGACGAAAGCAGCGGCAGCAACATAATTATGGCTCCAGCGCTCACAGCAGAGCCTTTAAGTCCCAAGGAGAAATTAACGAGCACAGCATCGCCCGCCACCCGACAATCGAGTCGAAAGCTGGAAATAACGCAATCTGCCAGTGCAAGCAATAATAGCAACAGCAGCAGCGATAATAATAGCAACAACACAGCGACTGCAGCAGTAAAGAAATCTGCAATTCCAACAGCCCTTTCAACAACCTCAACGCGTGTCACACGCTCTAAGGACGCAGCACAGCGTCAAGCCTCACCAATTGTAGTAACACCCAACAATAAACGCAAAGTCAACAATAACAATATTAGCAGCAGCAGCAACATCCAAAATAACACCAGCGGCGGTGGTGCGAACATCAAGCCACAAATTAATGAACAAATGGGCCTGAGCGCCGCCAATGCACATACAACAACATCAGCATCGGAAAGCATTGCAATAGCGGCCGTAAACACAACCGGCAACAACGATAGCGTCATCGGACCATCAACGCCACCACCGCCAGTGGCCTTGGTCGCCACTGCTGAGCACAATAACAATAATAGCTCCAAGGATAATTCTACAGCGCAACTGCTGGCCGATTTGACCAGTGATTTTGAGGAGGCCATTACTGCCGAAATTTGCTTGCGCAAAACGCTGCCGGAGGTCAGTCTGGGCAAGGAATCGGCGGCAACTACAACAGCTGCTGTATCCTCACCGGCCACTGATCCTGCAAGTAATTTGCTGCCTTGCTCCACGTTATCTGTAACGCACATGGATGAGCAGTCCACAAGCTCAGCAGCAGCAGCAGCTCAAGCAGCGACGTTAGCAACAGCACCCACATCATTAAGCGATCCTCAAACGCAGGCACGAATACAGCCAACTATAATATGTACAGAACAGCAGCAACAACAGGAACTGCCGCACATCATTAGTAGCGACGAACAACAGCAAATTGTCGATCATCTTGAAGGTAAGTTCCCAAAATTGGGTAAATTGCACAGTTTGTTTTTGTCTTACCCCTAATCGACCCTCTTCAAGTTAACTAAAAATGATAGTTATTAAACTACACCTACGATTATTCCAAATTCGGGACTAACTGATGTCAAACCCTAAAGTGAAGGAAGTTGTATCTGTCTGTTTTACTACTTTGATGAATATCATTAAACTTGACTAAATATTTCAATTTTTAAAAACGCGAAATTGCAAACAATGCATTTCTAAAGAGTTTTAATAGTAATAGGTTTCGATTATATAGCGCTGATTGTAGCTGAAGGGATGCTTAACCCAAATGTAGGGATCAGAGACCAGAAAGATAGAAGTAATATTGAACCTAGTGGTCAGATTGGATGGATGCGAACAGAGTATGGAATTTTGTTTCAAATATTCGTTATAATACGAATACATATCACTATAAATTATTGTGTAAACTGTATTAAAACTCACGGTTTCTAAATTCCTTCTGCAATCAAAAGATCTCCTTTAAATAAGACCAATAGAAAATTTCCAATTCGATGTATATGTACTAAGTTGTCATTTCTTTCCCTTCACAGAACGCTTAAGCCAGCTAGATGGGGGCTCCTTGCCACCTGTTGTTGACATAACCGGAGGAACTTTGGCGACTGGCGTTACGCTGCCGCCTCCGCCACAACAACAGCCTCTGACGCTAGATAGAAGTCAAGATCAACAATTGCAGGACCAACAGTTGCAGGAACAACAGCAGCAGCAACTTTTGGCTTCGCCCCAAACGCAGCAGACACGTCAATCCGCAACGCTGCTTACACCGATAAATAATTTTCTTAAAGACGGAACTGCCGGTGCAATACTTGATCAAGACATCGACGAGGTGCTCAAAGTGCTGCAAACGCTCGATGGCTCACATGGTAATCCGGATGCGATCTGTGATTTCAATTTCTTTCTGAACAACGATGAAGAAGCGGCGGCACCAGCAGCTTCTGGTATCGGTGTATCCTCGTGTAATGTGCCCAGCAGCATAGAACCCTTGGACACCAAACCCAGTTGCAGTAGCAGTATCATCAACAGCAGCATAGAACCGAATGATGTCGCCCAGCAGCTACTGAAAGCCGAGCAACCTCCCTCGAAAGAAAGACTTGCCGAGCTGGAGCAAAACTACCATTTGCTAGTACGTAAAGTAGATTTTCTGTTACGTCGCATGCGCAAATTCCAAGCGCGCCAAATGTGTCATCATGTCAGCGAAGAGATTGCCGGCGTCTTCGAATGGGCAGCACGTACTTCTAATAAAGCGCCACAGCCAGTTCGCAGCTCTACGCTTTCAGAGCAAGATGCAACGGTCATGTCGATTGTGTCAGGTCGTCCGCTCGGCAATTTTTGGTCGGAGCAAAAGAAGCAAGCATTGCCCGCATCACAATTGGGCACATTCTTGCGACACATTGACACAGTGGCGCGACAGCAGCAAATTTGTCACACGATTGGTGGTAGCTCCTCCTCGCTGGCATCATCATCGACATGGTATAGCAGTGCCGCCACGCCTGGTAAACGGCCACGCAAACAGTTACAGGATGGGGTATTGGCGAGCAACCAGCAGGGATCAACGACAGCTGGTATATCTTCCACGACGTCCGCTGACAAAACGCCACGTACCGATGAGATTGTGCCTGACCTAGACACCTATGTAACCGGTGAGCTAACACATGTTTCTGGTATGTTGCATACCGAACTACGTGAAGTACAGAACGCTATCGATTCCGATGCCACGGAATCGAGTTCTGGTGGCGAATCGGCTGATGAAATGGTTACCTACAACAATTCACAGCAGTTATCATTATCCATGTAAGTATAGAGCGTTGATAAAATTGTTGATAAAATTGATAGATTCTATAGGCACTCACCAATTCATATCAAAGAATGGTCACAATACTGCAACAAAAATTAGAAGATATTTGTTTTGAGTATGTTGAAATAGTTAAAAATGCTCCCCAATAGATATTAATGAATAATGAGAAAAATACCTGAGAATGTCAAAAATTTAAAATATTCTGTTGTGTTATGTTTAAAACATTACTTATTGCACTCAGACTTATACTAGTAACTTTCTAATTTAAGATTTCACAAGAGTTTCTGAAAGACGAAAACCATCGTTATGGATGTGCAAGAGTTGGACAAATGTGACCTCTAGACAAATAGTAGATAGCTTTTTTTTCATTATAGCAATTGTAACCTTTAAATTGTCTCATCAATCCGTAGAAAACTTTATCGCTGATATTCTATCTAAACTTAACAATACAATACATACATACTAATACTAAAAATCCTTAATTTTACAATTAGTTACTTGAATAGAATCAATGTTGGTCTGTTATTAAACCAAAACTGCAGAACAGTCCCATCTGTCTGTTAGTTTTAAACAGATATTACGAAGAATAGCTACTGATTATTATTTATGATTTCCTTTTTTATTGCAGCACACGCCGTGCAGTTTGGCGTTACTCACGAGATCGCGCCGCCATCGCCCTGCGCTGGTCCTGGTTATGTGCACAAATTGCCGATCTGAGCATTAAAATACGCCAGCACAACGATCTGTTCAATGAACTGAGTCGTACCAAGGGCGATGTGATATTGGCAGCGACACCTCCAGTAAAAAATGTAGAAAATTCATCAATGGCGACGACAACCACAGCCAATGGCTACAAGAGTGCCACTGCATCCTCAAATGATGGTTCGGAGGGCGACTATTCGTGCAGTCGATCGCGTCCGCTTGTACTCTCGGAGTTTCGTAAGCGCAAGCTCTTCCAGACCACCAACATGCATACGATATCGAAAAAAGCCGCAAGGCCCAGCAATATCAAATGTGGTTGCCAATGGCCGCAGGTGCCTTGTACGCTATGTACGGGAAGACCGGACCCAACGGCGCCGCGAGAGCTGCCTGAAACGCTAATGCCACAGAGCCGTGTCGGACTCCTTGATTCTGGCTATCATCCAGTGCTTAGTTTCCCCGAAGGTAAGTCTTTATATTTTTTTTTTGGAATCACACGTTTTGAGGGAATGCAAAACAATCCCTTACCAATCCTCACTGAAACTAGAGTGTTACAAACGTTCGATTTGACAAGATCATTGCAATATATAACTGCCATAGGAGTTATTACATTGAGAATGTTTTGAACCTGCAAATCGCAACAGATCTTTTATCTTCTGTGATAAATGCATCAATTAAGTTAAAGAAGTTAAAGAATTTGATTGTATAATGTGTGTCCGATGGTTGAAATAGCCTTTTAAGAAGACAGAATGTAGAGGGTAGGAATACCAAGAATACCTAATTATTTTTTTATTGCTGGCTGGCATTGGAAAAACCAATACTTTTTTTGTTAATTGATGCCCTAATAAATGTTCTCGGTTTAGAGCTTATGATAACTTGTTCGATGATTCCGACGTTGTTTAGAGGCGAATTTTGTAGTCTTATTTTTATAATATATATTACATGTTGAAGTAATGTAGATTCGATTTTTTATGGTCAGACATGTATTGTTTGGGTAGTGCTGATAAATGTTTTGTAATAATTATTTATTTACAGACATTAGCCAGTCATTGCATATAGAGGCCATTAGTCGTCAGCCGGATTGGCAGTACCGGGTTATGCGCTGTCAGACCAAAACGATTGTGAAAAACTTTTGGAAAGGTGAACGCGAGGCCTTGGCGGCAAGCGGTGGCGGCACGGGCGCTGGACGCCGGTCGGGCGAGGCGGTGAAGCGTCGCTATGTGCGACGCAAAGAACGTAATAACACGAGCGGCAACAACAACAACAATAATAACAACAGCCACAATGCAAGCGGTGGCAGCAGCAGTCACAACAACAACAACAATACTACCAGTGGCGTATTGGGCAGCGGTGCGGCGGACAGCGGAAACGGTACTGGTACTGCTACTTCTTCTACTACTACGCCTACTACAACGCCACTTGTGGCCAACAGTAAATTATTGTAAACATGACAAATTCGATAATTGATATTAACATAAAACAACAACAATTTGCATCTTCTTTTTTCTTTCTTTCTTTGCATTCTTTTCGTTTCACGTTTCGCAAAACAACTACAACTTCAAACAACAACAATTAAACAACTTCAACGACTTCCCACTTCTATCCCAAAAATCTTCTACAAATCTTGCTCATCGCTCCACAACTACAACCACCACCACTGACAACAATCAACAAACAAACAACAACCAACAACAACCAACATTTGCAACATCAATTGTTTTATTTTTCGTTTTCTGCAATTTATTTTCGTTCATTGGCCGCTGCAGCTGCGACGAAACAACAACAACGACAAGCAGTGGGGAACGCAAACGCATCGATTATGAGCACCAATTCAATCTTGCCGTTGCACGCCTCTCGCCCACACCAACAGCAAATGTCCAGCAATCCCAGTACTTCACTGATCTCCAGCAAAGGCGCTAAAAAACCACGCAAACTTACCGCCAACAATTCCATGCAACAACTACAACAAACACATTCGTCAAATTACAACCACAGCAACAACAACATTCACAATAGCCAGCTTAATGGTGATAACAACAGCAGCAGCAGCAGCAAATATCTGAGTCACACCTATCATCAGTGGGAGAATACGCAACGCAGTCGAAATTCGTCGCCCACAAACACTGGTGGCGGGGGCGGTAGTGGAAAGCGGCAGGAACGGTGCGTAACTGCATATTTTAAAAAACTTTATCGTATAACTAATGCCTATATTTGCATATTCCACAGCTCCGCAGATCGTCGCAGTCGTATGATCTATGACATAGACAATATCGTGATACCCTACAGCGTAGCAGCCGCCACACGACCGGAGATTTTGCCGTATAAAGAAATTCCAACACCAAAGTAAGTGATGCTTCGTAAAAAAAATATTACGAAATATATTATAAATTATGGTTAAAATATGTCTTGGGGATGTTTCCTTGCCACCTAGTAAAATTCCGTGGCTCTTAAGGTTTACTGGGAAAGCAATAAAAATATTTCTTTATCTTGCAACATTCCGTTTCGAGATCAAACATGATAGCAAACGGCCTGCTCGTGGGTATATTCCACAAAATTTTATAATCAGCGAAAGAAAACTTCATATCCATAATATAATAATAATAATAATATTTATTTAAATTTTCACTTTTATTAGATGGCGCGTTGTTGGTAGTGATAGTAAGAAGTCACAGAAAACGTTAAATGCAGACCAAACTACCGAGAAACCCAAGGTGCTGATAAATGGCTGCGCATCGCAATCTCCCATAACAGCCCCTATTGTGAACAACGATCCTAACAAGGTGATAACAGCGGATGATCAGAAGAATGTGGAGAACTCAAAAATTATACCAAAGGCATCTGTAAAAGTCAATGGCTTGAGACTGAACTTGAAGCAGTCGCCAAAGGAGCAATCGACACAACCTGGGGTTGCTGAACCAGCTGTGAAACTATCAGAACAACAAACGAATAAGTACAACAACAATACTCTTGTTAATGGCAACGGATTGTCGGAGCCGAAAGGGGATGTCGCGCCGTCGAAGGAAACGAAAGCAGCGGAAGAGTCAGCTCCCAAAAACAAAATAAATAATATACACAACAAAACGAATAATGTAATCCATAATAACAATAATAATAGCAATAAGAAAACCGCTGAATTTACAACAAAGCTGGAGGTAACCACAACTGCTACAACTAAAGTCGGCGAGCTGAAGGAAACAGCTTCGAATGTGGAACAACCTCCGAGCAAGCGGTCAAAATTGCAAGCGGCGAACCCAATCACAGACGAGTCAAAAGCTGATGAAGCTGCAAAAACCAATGGCGATGAATCTGGTGAAGAGATCGAAGATTTATCGGATGAAGCCTTCCTAGAGCGACACCACCGAGCTCTTCTCGAAGAAAGAAAACGTTTTGAGACCTTTTTAAAATTTCCATGGAGCACACGATCGCGCGCCAATCGACGAGTTGATAGTCGTGCCGAATCGAGCGGCGCTAATACACCAGATCCGACATCTCCGGCACCACATTTGCACAACAGTTTAAGCGGTGGTGGCGGCATTGGCGCTGATAATGAGAGCATACCCTCCCCGCTGGCACAACACATGTTTCAACATCCGCTCGATGGACTGAATGAGGCGGAAGGAAATGCTGCAAGCGGCTCCGGCAAAGCGGGTAGTAAGGGTGGCAAACGACAGGAACGCCGGCGTACCACCTCGAGTAAACAGATTAAGGATGTGGATCGACGGAGCGCTACCCCCGATTCTCGAGAGGTAAGTGTAAAAACATTATCTTAATCCAATTTTACACAAAAAAGATCTCTGTTACATCTATTTTGCGTCTGGTAATTTTTATAAGGATGGCAATTAATGATGTGCTTCACTCTCTTTTTGAACTATTTAATGTGTGGAATTTAATTTGTTAAAATTTTACTACTTTCAGGAGCAAAGGCCACCTCTTTTTGAGCCGCTGCAATTTCCATTGAGCGATGAAGTGTACCAGAAAATGTTAGCGGGAAGGTACGCTGAACCGAAGTCAGGGATTTCGAAGCGCGTGAAGAGCAAATCAATCTCATTGAATGGCGATGGCAGCTATATGAGTAGAGGTAGTCGTCGCAGCAGCAAGGTCAAAGCCTCGGGCTCCAAGTCCAAGCTGGCACAGCAACCGCATATTAATGGCGATGATGTGGAACAACAACAGCAAGCGACCAGTGAGGCGTATAGGGGCATTCCTGATGATTATGATGATGGTGGTGTAGACTACGATCACTTATCTGGCGTTGAATTGATGGAGGAGGATGATGACGATTATCCGAAGCATCATTTAGCGCCACTGGATGATGAACAGCTGCCGCCTAATTATTCAGATCCAATATATGATGCCTGCTACAATGCGTACACGGGTGCGCCCACATTGGATGAGGAAGATCTGGATGATCCATTCATGGATGATGACCCCAATGACCCCGAGTGGAAACGCAGCATTGCAGTGCGCCACGAGCGCATGCGCAAACGCGTCTAAGAAGTAAGGCAACAGTTAAAGGATAGAAAACAAAACAAAAGAAAACTTATCCAAAGCTATTTCTGAATTTGAATCAGGTCCAAATGATTTTTATACATTTTTGTCAATTTTAAAAACCATTTATAAACTTTAAACAGAAGAGAAATCCGTATATAAACATACATCTATTTTTAACTTGTTTTAAATCTACTTGTTTTTTCTTGTTGCAAAACACAAAGGAGTTCAGTTTTTTTTTGCATAACGAGCAAGACAAACTAACAATAATATTAGCATTGGAACTCTTATTTAGGCAGTTTTTAAGTTATTTAGTTTTAAAAACAACATCTACACACAATAACTCACACACATACTACACACAAAATACAAACTTACAAATAAACAAGAAAAAATCGTGAAACCAAACAAAATTTATATTTAAAAAGAGAATAAATGTAAACATAAAAGGAAATCTTTAAATTTGTTGGCAAAGCGCACGCGTTCTGCAACTTTATGTAAATACTAAACGAATAAGTTAATTAACTAACGGTTAGAAATTAGTTTTTACGATTCTAAAAAAGGCAAAATAAAGAAAACAAACAAACGCTATCGGCTTTGCCTTGTGTATGTAAAGAACAATAAAAGTTCAAGTATAGTCTTAAAACAAAGAAAAAGAAATTCATTTTTGGCTACAAGCTAATGTGCGCTGCTATTGCAGTTATATTATAATTAATATATATATATATATATATATAGTACATACATTTAAACAGATATATGTTTTCGGAAAAGTTGAAACAATGTTCATTTCGCAATCAATCAAATAACAACCAACCACAAAAAACTGTATATTTTTGCCGTTCTACAAATAGTTCTAACAGCATATTAATAAATATTATTAAATAGCAGCGACAACATTTAGCCAGCGCCAGGGTTATGTCAAATATACATTATTATATAAAAGGCGCGCAGTTTTTTTCTGCTTATTATTTGCTGCAAGTACATTTTATAAACTCTAAATGTATAATACAAATTAAATGTATAATTAGTTTCTTTAGAGCTTGTAATGATTATTACGTTAAATATAGTTGCTAAATGTACACATATATAAAATTAATAACTAGTGCACGCAACAACAGCAATAGTTATGATACCAACATCATGTGAAAACTGCAGATAGACAGACACAACCAGCAACATTTAATTTGAATTCCTTAAAAGTTATATTCTTTTCTATAAATAGATCTACACAAGACACTCTTTAAAACAGCCGTTAATATTTGAAATACTATAAATGAATAGTGTATATTATGCAAGTAAAACAAATACTAACGATATTAAAAAAAAAAAAAACAACAAAAAAATACAAAACGTCTATATTCATAAAATAAAAAAGTATAAAAAATACTATAAACGCAAGTGTTCTTATTTATTACATATGTATATGGTTGGGCATTCTAAAAACAATTTTATTTATAGAAGTTGTCGCAGTGAAACCAAAAATTAAAAATAATATTATGGAACTGTTGCTGTTCAAATTAATCGAAATCAAACTTTTTATATGCCCTTAAGAGATATAATTCAGAAGTATTTTGAATGGCTCTATACATTTCCTTTTAAAGAAGTTTGCCTGTGGAATACTTATTACAGATGTGAAGCAAAATTTTTTGAAGATGTTTCGGATGGCTGTCGTGCAATTTGGCATGCTTCTAAGCCCCAATAGAATATAGGAATTTCAATTATTATTAACATGTGTTCTCTAGCCAAGAGCTATATTAATTCAAAGTGGCTCCAAAATGTTCAGTTGATGAGCATCCGTCAAGTCAGACAGAAGCAAAGATGATGGTGAGATTTCATCAGTCACTTATGTATACTATTATTTTGATCCGAAAATTCTCCTGTTACTCTATAGTTGTCAATTTTATTTGTATTGGCATTGAGCTGCACCTTTTATGGCCAATCACAAACACTGCACATGCCATACAATTCGGAGACAACAACAGAAAAACTCGATGGGATAAGCCAGCGTTTGGGACATTTGGAACGCACGCTACAACAAATGAGGGACCAGACTAGTGTAGGGTCCCAGCTTAGTAATTCCCTTCAACATATAAATAGAAACCAGATGGAGCAAAAACGGAAGCTTACAGGTTTACAGCTCTTGCTCACTCAGGTACTGAGCAAAGTGATCGATAGCCGTGGATCACCCAATTTTGTTGAAAGTAGGCGAGGATCTGGGACAGAAGTGGAATTGATTTCACGCCTTCAGCATCGGCTGAATAAGCTGGAGATCAAGGAACGTAACAGCCACGAATTATATACTAAAATAGTAAAGATAGAACAACTGTTCAGAGCTTTACCGATGAGCCAGCAGTCCAAAGATTTGCAGAATATGCTACGCAACCAGGACAGCCTGATGGCACAGATGCATGCGCTTCTTAAGCAAGCAACAGAGGGGAGAACAATTTTTCATAAGATTTCTGTGTGTTATCAATCGTTATCCAACGAACTGAGCACATTTACAAAGAGCTCCAGCATGCTTTTCAAACACGATGGACCGCCAATCAATATTAGTCTAAATACTAATAAGCCAGAGAATGTGAACGACACTTGTGTACTGCATATTTTAGAGGAAGAAGGTAACAAATCATTTTTGGAGAATGAAGAAGAGAAAGTGGGTACGTAAACATAGCAGATGGAAGACAGAGTAACTTCACATTTCTTTTCCCAGATAGACTACGTTTTACCAGCCAAAGCAGATTGCTCTGAACTGACGGAGCCACGCATTGATGGTATTTACCAATTTATAGTGCCAGAATTGAATGAAGTTGAACGTAATTTTAATGAGCGCTATTGTGCTTTTGCCACTCGCGGTCCGGCTTGGACAGTAATACAAAGACGCGGTCCCTACGAGCCGCAGGAGAATTTTAATCGCAGTTGGGATGAGTATCGCGCTGGTTTTGGCGATTTGTCGAGGGACTTTTGGTTTGGCAACGAGTTCATACACAAAATTTCCTATCGTGATGACCATGTGCTGCGCATCGAGCTCGAAGATTTCGATGGTAGACAGGTGTGGGCTGAGTATGGATTGTTCCGTTTAGACAGTGAAAGTTACAATTATCAATTATTGATTGGTCGCTTTAATGGTACTATGCCAGACGCTCTGGAGAATCATAATCAAATGGATTTCAGTACCTATGATCAGCGGAATGATCATAGTATTGATGAGCCCTGCGCCGTGCGAACGGGCAGTGGTTGGTGGTTTGATAGGTTCGGGAAACAAAATAGATATGTATTTAAAAAATATGAACTTACTATGTTTCTGTTTCCAGTTGTATGGAGGCAAATCTGAACGGGATTTATCGCCACAAGCCACAAGGACACAATTTTAATGGATTTATCTGGAGCAACGACTACTCCATGAAAGCTGGCCGTATGATGCTGAGACCGCGAAAGCTACAGCTTGCAGCTACCGAATATAGTTATGATGACTATGATACGGATAGTTTTTGAGCGCACAAGTTCAACAATATCACATACCCTATAAAGAGCATTACGAGTACTATGGAATAAACGTTACCAAAATCAGCGCCAGCTTCTTGTTCTTATGCATTTAATGCCATTCAAAAGTAGCGCTACGCAACTGTTGTGTAGCAAACTTTCAGCTGTTAATTTTTCCCTACATCAGGTCGAATAAAGCTAAATATGAGATTTTCATGCAATGGTTTTTAACAAATAGTACTTAAAATTATTAACGAGTTGCTTGATAAAAAAAGTAAGCCCTCACAACAAGGCTTAGCAAATTTAAGTCCGTGAGTGAGTAGCGATATTCGCCGCTGAACGCTACCAGTATCGATACTTGGGGTTGCCAGTGTCAACCCTAGTCAGTCTAGTTTGGTGTGCGTGTGAGTGCGACAGCAGGTTCGGTCGAGTGCAGCGCGACTGCAGCGCAAAGGGAAAAATTCAAAGAAGTTGTAAATTACAAAGTAAAAATACATTGTTAATAATGTAAATTGTTTGTTATTGAAACACATTTAAATTTGCAAAAAATGGCCCAGAGAAACAGTTAAGCCAAACAAAGGGTTTGCAACGCAGACAAATTTACAACAACAAAACATAAGAACAAGACGAGACGTGCAGCAGCAGCCACTCCTTTTGTGTCCGTCGTTTGAGAAATGTGTGCGTATTTGTGTTCGTGTGTCGTATCCAATGTGTGTGTGCGTGCTGTAATTGAAAAGTTGTGATTACTGCATAAATTATAAATTGAAATTGCATTCATTAAGAAAGTGAGCAGGCGCATTAAAAAGTGAAAATTCGCGGCACTTGCAAAAGAAAAAATAGTATTTTGTGTATAGTGGGTCTTAAAGTAGAAAAGACAGTCAGCGATAACAGCGAACCCACACACACCTTCTTACATACATATGTATGCGTGTGCATAAATACACACATAGACAAAAACAGAGCCCGTACATTCAAGCAACGCGTGTGCATGTGTGTATGACTCACTACCCTACACAAGTAAATGCGCGGGGGGAGCACGCTACTACCTACGGTAACAAAAACAATAAAAGCAAATCGCTGCCGCGCTTCAATAGAATTTCCCAAGCTGAGCGTAACTAATCGCGTTTGAAGAAAATTCCAACGTACACACGGAGAGGGAAAAAGCGAGAGAAATAGAGAGAGAGAGAGAGAGACAGATAGGCGAAGAAGCCGCAAATCCCTCATAGGCACAGAAAACAGCGAACAGCACGAACATGAGTTTTACCAAGTGGTTTAAAAAGAAGGAGCAAATCTCCGAAATTGGTGAACCCACAAATTTCCAACGACACTTCCATGTATCCCGCAATCAAGAGACTGGAGATCTGGAAGGTTTGCCTGCCCCATGGCTACGTCTAATGAACACACAAATTACTCGGGATGAGCAGGACAAGAATCCAGATGCTGCCTACCATGCGGTGAAATATTATAATTACTCGATTAAGAAAAAAGAGAACGAGGTGTTTAAGCCACTGATTACCGAGCTTGTGATACACGAGGAGTCCAAGGAGATTGATAACTATTTGAACTACAAGAATAAGCACAAATCCCAAGATTTGGATAATGATGATGAAGCGTACAGCGGTGGCAGCTCAACGGCTACCGAAAGCAACTCCAGCGGCAGCGGCAGCTCGACAGGCAACAGCAATAGTAGTAGCCTTAACGATAATAGCCAACAGGCCGCCATACGACTTTCCGCGCTCAACGACGTGATCAAAGAGCTAGAGTCAAATCTGGAACGACGTGAAACGTTAAAACCCCATAAGCCGACCAGTCAAAACCAGGCGGGAGCGCAGGAACCACCGCCGCCGCTGCCTGCCAAGAAATCCACACACACACTGCCGCCCAAGCCACAGATAAAGCCAAAGCCATATAGCGTCACGCAAAAAGTCCCCCGTGTCAGCGACCTAACCTCCATAGCCGCCGATGAGCAGCTACATAAGGTCAACACGGATACCATTATCCTCAAAACCGCTGCCACGGCTAGCGCTGTAAACGATGCCACGAACGATGGAGATGCTGGTGATGAAACGATACTGCGTCGCTCTAAAGAGAAGCGTACACAGAAAACTGACTCCCAGGTCTATGATGAACTGCGTACCATTTGCAATCCGTGCGACCCACGCGAGCGCTTCCAGACCACACAGGAGGTGGGTAAAGGTGCATCGGGCATCGTATTTATTGCGGGAGATTTGCAAAATGAGTCACAGGTGGCGGTGAAAACGATCGACATGAAGAATCAGTCCTCGAAGGATCTCATACTCACCGAAATACGCGTGCTCAAGGATTTCAATCACAAGAATTTGGTAAATTTTCTTGATGCCTATTTACTGGAACCGGAGGATCAACTTTGGGTTGTAATGGAATATATGGATGGTGGCCCACTTACCGATGTCGTTACTGAGACTGTGATGAAGGAGCGGCAAATTGCGTGCGTGTGTCGTGAGGTATTGTATGCCATTAGTTTTCTGCATGCCAAGGGCATCATTCATCGTGACATCAAATCTGATAACGTGCTCCTCGGCATGGATGGTTCGGTCAAGGTCACCGACTTCGGATTTTGTGCCAATATTGAAGGCGATGAGAAACGACAGACAATGGTGGGCACACCATATTGGATGGCCCCAGAGGTTGTGACACGAAAGAAGTATGGCAAGAAAGTAGATATATGGTCCATAGGAATTATGGCCATAGAAATGATTGAGGGTCAGCCACCATATCTGTATGAAACGCCATTGCGTGCGCTATACTTGATTGCGGCTAACGGCAGGCCCGACATCAAGAGCTGGGATAAGCTGAGTCCCAACCTGCAAGACTTTCTTGACCGTTGTCTCCAGGTAGAGGTCGATAGGCGCGCTACAGCCGATGAACTACTACGGCATCCATTCCTCGACGATTGCAGCGAGGTGAAGGCCTTGGTTCCCAATATTAAGGCGGCCAAGAAGGTGCTCCGACGCAATGTATAGTTAATGTCTAATCATCGGGTAGCCAAGCTTATGTATGCGTGATGTGGATAATAGGATCTGGAGAGATGGGATTGCGTTGCAGCCGCTCCTTGGAACGTTTATAATAATGTGTGTGTATATGAGTTCATCTATGTAAATTTAATTTCGTCTGGAACTGGAACAAAATGCTGATTAGTCTTCGTAGAGTAACGACAAAAACAAAAACAATAATAACTACAACAGCTGGCGATATGTTTGTGCGTGCTTCCAAAATGGAATTGCACTGGGATTTGGGATTTTTGGTTTCCTAATACGTCGCTGGACGATTATATGGAAAAATGGTGAGTTTTTCAAATTAATCTTAATCTTACCTGCTTTACACAAAATACCTTAAGCTGCTAGCAAATAAAAATCTTTTGTCTCTTTGACTATCTGGTGTCCTTTTTGAATTATCCATAGAACCAATATTCATGGGGTTTCAACTATTTTCAATGAAGTACAATTTTGTAAAACTAAAATCTACAAATGCTGAAGCCTTTTAGTTTAAATATGACCTACTTTGCATTAATCAACAAAAGCACCTCATTTTATTTGCAAAACTATTTTGACATGCCATTACATAGGGCTATATTTATTTCCAAAAGAAACTGAGAAAAATAGGGTATAAAAAGATGTTCAATTTTAAAAAATGTACATATTTATACATAGCAATTAGTAGATCTAATAAAAGGACTACTTATCGTAAAAGTAATAAAATTTAAGCTATAATAAGCTGATATAGAAATGATTAAAATCATAGAAACCATATCGTCGGAGGAACTGCAAAATTTCTTAAAGGATTTGGCAACATTCATTGGTAATGTAGAGTATTAAAACATCGAAAACATTGTCCAATTTAAACGGTCCCTTTCAAACGTTGACGGATGAGACCTTAGATTTTTCTACATTAAGCTTGTTCACGTTTTCCCAGCTAGCTAGTTTGCATTTCAATCGATCACCAAGTGTGTGTGAAGTTTATTTGAAATGTGATTTGTGAAGGGCATGGGAGTGTTGTGGCCGCACACAAATAATAACAAATACATATAATCTTTTATTGCTATCATGATCGTGTTAATGGCGTTGCCTTAATCAGCAGAGTAGTAGCATTTTAAAAGATTAAATCGATCAAGGTCTTTTGGTCAACATAGAGTACACTGTGGGTTTTCAGATGTTTTACACGTAATCTATATACTATAGTATATGTATGTACATACAAACAAATGGATTTCATGTAAATCGCTTGTTATGTTATTTCTGCAGGTGAGACTTTGTAATTATCTATATTTGTGGTTTATTTTCAACTTCTATACACGTTTAAATTAGACGAAAAGCAAAATGATATTAAGTTAGCCCTTACATACATACATACATACGTACTGAAAACAAATTTATAATTTAACTACATAGGCCTTACATACATATATATGTACGAACGAACATGGAGTAACCACGCCATTTAAAACGCTCGCTCGCATTTCCTGTTGAAAAAGACATGAAATTATTGCTTTTGTCTGCCAAATAATAATAATAATAAACTTCTTATATCTCACACACACACTTACAATTTAACATTTTTAAAAGCTTATCAACACCGCTGAACGCAATTTCACACACACACGCACTTCACATTTGAAAAGACCCTGCCGTGCGCGCCACAGGCCCCGCAATCACCCACGTTGCCTTAACTTACCCACTCAAAGAAAGACATACATACGTACATATGTATGTACATATGAAAAATTTTCTCCGTTTATCAAAATTCGTAGTACATTTTTTTTGTGTTTTGTTATTTGATAAGCGAAGTAAAAAGCACCAAATAAAATAGCTAGGCTAGTAGCAAACATCTTCCTACACCAGCAAACTTAATGAAGGAAAGAGAGGATCTTGAGGGTGTGAGTGGGCGTGTGAGCAGTGTTGCCTATTTGGCTATTTTTTCCGCTAGTTCTGCAGTTTAGTAAAAATTATGATCTCTCTAGGCATGTGTGTTGTTATGTTTTTTTTAATAAAACATAGTAATACACATGTATGTACGTGTATATAACATATGTATTAATATTTACTTAGAACTTCTCGATTTTGACCGGTAGTATTTCAATGCCATTGTGTCATAATCAAAGTAATAACTAGATTAGACGTTTTGTGTTTTCATATCGTAATATACCAAATATAAAACCTACTTTAATACATCGATTTATTTTATATTAATGAAAGGGAAAAGTTTGCTAAGTTAGGCGACTAAGTTTCTTTATGGGAATTAAAACAGTGAAAAATGCGCTTTATTAATAATACGAGTATATGTACATACATATGTAATTTTGTTAGCCATTTCAATTTCTGACACTCAATCATCGGCAACACTGTGTGTGAGGGCAGTTGCGTGTAAAAGTAACGGAGCATATAACAAAGAGTGCAGTTAATTGTTGTTGCTGCAGTTACTGTCTGCTGTTGTTTTTCTTCGTCTTCCTGCACTTATTCCTGCTACTTATTGAATTTAATTGCATGCTGTTTCTCTCTGCTTCTGCTACTGCGCTATTTATACTCGCTCTTCTGCATCCCTCGCCTGTCTGCCGACCAACAACACTCGCATTTATGAATGTGAATACGTATGTACATATTTACTTATGTATGCACATGTATGTATGTATATACACATTACCGGATCTTTGGCTGTTTATTTGTTTATATTAGTGGCAAATACTTTTGCTTTCCGCTTTGCGGATTGCCCAACTTGGAAAGTAGCGAACTTTTTTCTCAGTGTTTGGATGTGTGCAAGTTGCGGCTATTTTGCTTTTTCTATGCGCATATTTTTTGGCTTTGTGTGCCAAATGGTTTTACTTGATAACGACGGCAAGCATGAATAATCAGCAGCAGACGCAACAGTAACTATAAAGCAAAGACAATAATCATTTTGTAAATGATTTTGTTGCGTAGCCCTCATAATGAAAATAATAAATTTGCAGCAACGCCTCTATACAACGAAAATTTGTGTCCCCGTTGATGGTATTGTTGTTGTTGGTGCATCAAGTTGCATGTTGCTGCAGCCTGTGGGGAGTGGCGCCGCAGTTGGCTTCGCTTCCATGTCTCGGGGCCAAAGTACAAAACTGCGGCTACGCGCGCGACAGTATGTGTGTGTGTCTATAGATTTGTATGTATGTAAGTATATCGTGGTGTCAGCCCAATGGAAACGAGTAGAACGTTAAAGTTCTACGGCTCCTGATCCATACCCTTCTCCCTGCCACAGCCATTCAACTAAAATATATGTATTTATGTACCTTGTTGTACCAATTTCAATAAAACTTCAGTTTATGGAGAAGCATTAGTTAAAATATCTTTATAAACCTAAAAAGTTATTTCAGTGAGAGTGATTTTTGCATCTTTGTACATACAGACGTACAGACGTTGTATATACATATGTATTGATATAGCGTGAAAGAGGAAAACCCCTTTAGTGGCGCCGTCTCGGATTCGTCATGAAAATGCCAAATATTATTTGCCTAAATGCCAAAAATGAAAATGAAAAGCACAAACAAAACCAAAAGACACCTAAACTATTCGACCGGTTTAAATGACGTTCAATACATTATCATTTTACCTTGCCTGAAGGTTTTTAGTTTTTCGTTTTGTTTTTCTCTTCTCTCTTTTTTTTTGTGCTATGTATGTATGTATCTGCGTTTGTGTTGTTAGTGGCGTGTGTTGGCAGCCTTTTTGCTTTGCTTACGCGGAATTGTAGATGATTCATTGTATAATTTCGGGGCTTATATTAAAACAGGCATACGCGCTCTCACAAATACCTTCTGGTGGTAATACGACTGTATGTGTGACTGGCTACATGGAATCTTTGTTTTGTTTGCGTGTTGTTTGCAAATGGTTTTCACAACAATCATGCTTGCTCACAATTTACTGCTACCGTTGTCGTTGTTTTTGTTGTTGCTGCCACCCAGCCGCCCCAATATGTGACATTTTGCAAGCACGCCCGACCACAAACAATTTAATTATACGTTTTTTTCGCGTTTAACCATTACAGGGTGACTCAGATAAACTAAAATTATGTATGTATTGTTATGCCTTGAAAATTTTATTCATGGACTGCTGTTTTAAGCTTCAGTATGCTTGTATGCATATGTACATACATACTCGTACATACATACATACATACGAGTAATGCATCTTATCTGATACACTGTTGTGAAAAGCGTTCTTTATCTGGTTAGTTATTCCCTGCATAATTCGAAAATGAAGGGGAATTATAATTTTAGAAAAAGGGATTGTCGGGGGGTTTTTTAAAGGTAATTTAACAAGTATGTTAAGAAAAAAGAAAAAATGCATCTAGTTTTGCATTTATCAGTTTGATCGAATACCACTTATAGTAATAATAATACACAACGAATGTTGTATACACAATAAACTGGTTTTGGGGATAATATTGAGACAAATTAGTATAAACAAGATAGAACGCTACAGTCGAGCAAGCCCGACAGTAAAATAGCCTGTACTCTCCACAAAAAAGCAAAAATTAAAAAAAAAAAATTTAAAAAAAAAAATTAAATTATTAAAAAAAATTAATGAATTAATTAATTAAATTAAATTAGAATATATGTTTATGTTTAGTTTTAACAGCATACATTTACATCACGTACCTATGCGTGTTTATATGCGTGTATGTATGCAGCACAAAGTTGAACCAAAGCAGCAACAACAACAACAGCTGCGGGCAGCGCTGCCGACAGAGCTGCAGGCAGCACATGAGCAGCGATTTTACTTATGGCTATAACTTTCTTCAGAATTGAGATATCATGATGAAATTTGGCACACGGACACATTAGTACTAACTGGATGTACCTACCAAAATTGATTTCAAAATTCCGAGAATTACGGAAGTTATAAGAAAAAACACGAATTGCGGGGGAGTGGGGGGGTGCATCGAAAAAAAACTCAAACTCGTACTTTCTCGGTCTTAGGAGAATATGGAAACCAAGTTTGGTTATTCTAGCTCTTATACTTTCTGAGATCCTTGCGTTCATACGGACAGACGGACAGACGGACAGACAGACGGACAGACAGACGGACAGACGGACGGACGGACAAGGCTATATCGACTCGGCTTCTCATCCTGATCAAGAATATATATACTTTGTGGGGTCTGCCACGCCTCCTTCTGTGTGTTACATACATGCGCACAAAACTAGTATAGCCTTTCACCCTTTGGGTACAGGCTATAAAAAGCTTATTAAAATTATGTCAATACATTACAATATATAGTCAAAAATCTTATTATAGCCTGTACCCAAAGGGTGAAAGGCTA